CGGGGTGGTTGGACTACATGGCCCTTAAGGGTCCTTTCCAACACAAACTATTCTATGATTCTATGATTCTATGATATTTGCATTCATTCCTACCTGCCCCATCTGATTAATAAAGGAAGATAAATGAGGAACATAGAAAACAAAGGTCAGAACTGGGGTTATCTGCTGGCCAACACAGGCTTCTTCCTTACAGTGTGTTTATTCTCTGGTGTTTTCTCATTTAGAATGCATTTATGTATGCACAGATTTACCTGGAGGCAGGAAAGGGATTCTGAGCTTTCTTCTCCTAATCCCGATTTCTGCGTGGCCTCCCCTCCCATTCACAACAGACCGCTCCAGGAAATAAACTACAGCCTGGACAGTTTCCAAGGGGAATTACGGAGGCAGGTGCCGAAACTGAGAGCACTCCTCACCCTGGGAAACCCTCAGAGATGGGGCTGTCCATTGATGACATTTCCTCATCCTGCCCTGGCTGCGTGAGCCCTGACAGCCAAAGGTTTTGCTTTCTTGGATAACTCTTACCTCTTCAGCCCTTGCATCACGTTGCCTCCACCACAGTGGTGCAAAGGCAGAGCTCACCCTTGTAGAGCAATGTTGTTTTGATTTGGGATGGTCAAAGCTGGTGAACCCTTGATGAACCTGTCGTGAACCCTTCTCCTCAGCGTTCAAAGCCAACCCACGCATCAGCTCCTTTGCAGTTTCCTTCCTCCCTCCTCTCCACTCCCCAAAGTCCCACAAACAGCACTGCTGGCTGCAGCTGGAAGAGGCAAGGGAAAGGAAAGCAGGGTGTTTCTGAAAGCTGTTTCCTCCTGGTGACAGTGATTGCAGGGAACGAACAGGGCTCTGTCTACATCTCTCCATCTTAAGCTGGGCTAAAACAGATGTCATAAAAGCGAGAAAACCTACCAAATGCAGGGTCGTGGCTCATATTAAATTGACTTTCTCAGGAAATCAGTCCTTGCCCGAGCAAAGGGACAACGTGACTGGAAATCTCTATTCTGTCAAATGTTGGATCTAACACACATTGCAGAGCTTATCTGCCTGGGTCACCAGATGGAAACTGAGCAAATGCCTTATGCAAAACACATCTTTGGATCTGATCTGAAGACTTTGGATCTGTTTCTTCTAGATGCTGCAGGACCGGGTTCCCTGGCAGCACTGAAGCGGGTTCACTGAGGTGACATTCCCTTATTCAGGGTGATGTTTTTATGGCAGGTCTAGTATGCAATATGGGACTACAGTCCTCAACCAAGGTAGCACTGAATCCTCAAGAGCTGCTTGCACAGGACTATCTGTAAGGGTTTTTCAGGCTCCCTTCCTTAAGTGATATAGGACATGTAGTCTATGGACCATTCTGAAGAGCCCCTGTTAGATTTTCCACTCTTCTCATTACTGGAGGTTCTGATTGCTGAGTCCTAACAATGAAAAACACCCAGATGCTGCTTGATGTGACAGTTTTAGCAAAGATGTGATTTTACTTCTTTCTCCCGCTATGAATGAATGAAAAATTATTTGCTTTGCTTTGTTTTTCCTTCCCTTCCTATGGGACTTTGAGATGTGGTCAGACACATTGCAATCAACATTTAGGACTATACATCACCCATTGCTGGTGCATTCAGTTCTGGTATCTACTAGCTGGGTTCATGCTCTTCTTTCATTTCTTCTTCTCTAGCGGCAACACACCCATTGCAGTGTGGGGAACTCACCTAGACCTGATCCAAAACCCCCAGATCCGGGCAAAGCATGGTGGAAGGGAACACGTCAACGTGAGTATGGCTGCTGAGCTGGGGATCAATCACAGAAAGGGACATGTCCAAGGTGTTGATAAGGGCTCGATAATACCTCTAAAGGTTGCAATCTCCTATTGCATCCAGAAAAGAGGGCATGACTTGCTTTCAGAAAGATTACCCATCCTCTCTCCATGAAGGAGCACTGGACCAAAACAAGAACAGAAAGAGACATCATGAAGAGTCGTTCAGCTCCTGGCCTCTGCTGAGCCTGTTTCTTCGGTTGGCTCAAGGATACGTGCCCTCTCTCTTGGCCCATGTATAACCTGAGTTGTTTATCAGCCATGCCAAGTAGACCCAAATTCAGGTTATTAGCTGAGCGTGCTGGTATTAGAAGGGACTGTGAATAATACTTTTTGGTACTACTGGACAGTCCACTTCCTGGACTGTTTGGGATCCTGCAAGAGTCTATCCAGGTTTAACCAGCTAGATTTACAGCCTAATTCAGCTCTCAGTGATTCCTCAGTGAGGAATCAGAAGCAGCTTAAACCAGCAAAGCTTTACCAAGATCTGGGAGGACAGTTCGCTTGGAAGTGAAGTGCTGAACTGAGCAACTCCAGATAGAGGATTAAAATAGGTAAGTTTAGCACCCCCAATTAGTAAACTTGGGAGCAGGCAGCATCTGCTGGTACCTACAGTAGGTTGGAGGATGGGGCCATGCAACAATATCTGAAAAGGTGTTGGCTGTGTATGGGCACTTCCTGGGATCAAGTGTGAAAGAGCATCCCAGAAGAAGAGGCTCCAAAAGTAAAAAATACAGAGGGACTAATTGGGGCGGGGGTTGAAAGTCCAGATCTTCTACATTTTTCAGGCTTTAAGATTAATCTTTGGGCTTCTAAGGTTCTTAAAGCACTTTGCGGACATTAAAATCGTCTACTGCCACATGAACAGTGGTGAAATTTTCATAGATCCAAAAAGAAAATGCAGGAATATGGGTAGATTCATTTGCATCTACAGTTTGCAAATTGAGAGACCTAGATCTTGGTCTTATCCCAGCTCTGCCATGAACTAATACCTCCCTGCATAAAGCCAAATCCAAAGCAATTTTGCCACCTCTCATACCTCACCAGATTCAGGAAATATTTGTTGAGATTGGTTTCTGTGTCTGTGAATCTTAACTGGCAATCTTCCAGTCCTTCATGAACTCTGGGAAAACCCTGGTCCAACTGATTATGCGTATTCATAGGTATGTTTTGGTAATATGTTGTATTTCCTTGTACAGCACAGCCAAACACTTACCTAGCTTTCCTGCAGAATTAGAAACCTACATGACTTCGTCTTATTCTTCCAGCAGACTCTGGCTCTTGCCTGACACAATGATCTCAAAAAATCATACCATTGTGCAGATGATGAAGCCTATTCATCATCTCACACATGCTCGTGTAGAACTGCCCATCGGTTTTGTGCTGGGAAGTACTCCGGTGCCTTTTCTTCCTTGTAAAGAGCTGTTACAGCAAAGAACATCTGACTTATTTTGCAATATGAAACTGGCTGGTCCAAGTCACTTATCTCTCAATTGATTTGAGCCAAAGCTATGCTAGCTGTGATAATGAGTGTGCTCTCAATGATAGAGGTATCAGACTAGTTTGGAGAAGATTCTCATATCAACAGCTGGGAACAGCTGGGATCCCGTGGAGCTGGTGCTGTTTCCCCACAGTACTAGCAACCACGGTGTAGAAAGATGAAGGCTCAGATCCTGATGGACAACCAGACATCTAATTCCTAGTTGTTTAAAATGGGAGTCAGGATAAAATGCCTTTCACAACCTACTACCCATTTCTCAAAAACACAAAAGAAGCAGGTCTTTGGCAGGGCTGGAAGCCAACTTCAGGGTTTTCTGAGACCTACCCCACTGTCTGCATCACTCCAGCTTTCTGGGCTTCATTTTAGGTAACCTGATGTTCATACCGGAATCCTGGGCACAACTGAACATGCACTGGACATACACTTTTGGAGTGATCCCCAGTGTGTGAGAGCTAATTGCAGGGTGGTAGTGAGGCTTTGACTAGTCTCTACTGTACAAAAAAAGGAAGAACTTTCTATTTCCAGAAGGAAATGAGGTTAGGGGAAGACGGTGACACTGGCAGCCCCAGAGGCTGAGCTCCCTCAGGGAAGAGGCACAGGATGCCCAATTGCAGTGCAAACTGCTTCACACACCTGCCCTAGCAAAGCTTTCCTAATCCCTTCCCAGCCTCGCTTGTCTGATGGGTATGGGGTATGTTTTGAAGCAGTGGAGCACCAGCCTGTCTCGTGATAACCAAGGAGGTCTGCTCCTCCCTGTCCTCTGGCAGTAGGCTAGCATTTCACTAGGAGGTATCTGCCCACCAGGAGGGCTGGGGGCATTTTCCATAAACATTTCTTGTGTTGGGTTTCTTTCTCCAGAACTGTGAGGTGCAGAACAGCACGGAGATGACCTGCCAGGCTCCAGCACTGGCTGTTGACCCCAATCACCAGTCTGAGCTTGCTGAACGTCCAGAGGAGTTTGGCTTCATTCTTGACAATGTGCAGTCCCTGCTGATTCTCAACAAAACCAACTTCACCTACTACCCAAACCCAATCTTTGAGGTTTTCAATCCCTCAGGGATCCTGGAGCTGAAGCCGGGAAGTCCCATCATACTGAAGGTGAGATGGGGACCAAGGCCTGGGTGAGGAGGATCAAACACATGCTGCCATGTCTCTGTGTCTGCCAGCACCCCACGAATCACAGTGGCATCCCGATTGCATCCCAGAGATTTTCTCCACTCATTGCACCTACCATATCGCGTCATATCAGAGTCACCATCTGCAAACACGAATCTCAGCATTGGCTCAGCATCTGCCAATACCCGTAACTAAAAAATATAAACTCCTGCTGCAGCTACCTGTGTACAGCCTAAATTTGTACCCGCTGCTGTTCACCAGGGAAGAACATTTTCTACCGCTGCAACAGGCTGGCAGTTAAATACCCAAGTCTATTTCTTTCTTGGGTTTTCAAGACCTTCCTCTCTCCCCTGGTTAAATCCTACACTAGTCCTTTGCCATTTCTGCAATCTGGACAGCAATACAGAGAAGTAATTTTATGATTCAGCATTTCCGTATCAGCACTTGTATGTGCTGCATATGGAAAGAAATGATTGTGCCTGCAGAATACCCTCTTGCATGTTTGGAAAAGGGTCTGTCTTACTTGCCTGAATATGTTTTGTGAGGGCCCGTTTGTGCAACATTCCTCATTTAGTTCCAGAGAAAAAGGAGCAGAACAAGCTGTTTTGACTGATTACAGTCTGTAGCCATCCATGCTGTCCTCTGCATGACTTTCTAAATTGGCTTTTCCTCTCTGTGTTAGCGAATGGTGAACCACAAATGTGCAATGTTAACACTTGTGTCACAGGAAGGAACTAGAGGTGGAAGATAAACTCTTTCCTGACGTTTTTTTTTGGGGTGGGGCGGGGGTGTGATATTCCTTTCTGTCCAGGGCAAGAACCTGATCCCACCAGTGGCGGGAGGGAACGCCAAGCTGAACTACACCGTTCTGGTTGGTGAGAAGCCCTGCGCGGTAACGGTATCAGATGTGCAGCTACTGTGCGAGTCCCCAAACCTCATTGGACGGCACAAGGTGATGGTAAGTGGTGCTTGAACCTCGTCAGCCTTTCCTCCTTGGGTGGGTTGGGAGGGCACACCAGCAGAAGAGCTGGCAGAGATCTCCCAGGAGTTTGCATCACCATTTGCCTTCCATAGATCCCATAAACATCAGGGACCCTTCTTGATATATCCCCATCAACAGTAACTTGGAGAAGTAGAAGAGCAGTAGAGTAACCTGGAGATCTTTATGGACAGTGAGAAACCTTTCATAATCAAAACCCTTTGGGAAAGTTTGACTCTTTTCTGTTGTTGTATGGACTGTATGAACCCTAGATGATCATATGAGTTCACATATGTAACATGTTCCCTACATAACACACTTTGTTAAATTCAGCACAGTCCCCAGCAATTAGCAACATGCTGGTAGCTAAAATTTGCCTTTATGTAGGAGAAAAAAAAAAAAAATGCAGCATATGGACTCTAGTGTGACTGGACTTTGAGGTTTTGACATCTATACAAGTTAGTATACTCATGCATATCCTTCCTGGAACCTGTGAAAAATGGCCCCAGTGATTACATCAGAGGGAGCTTCTCCTCTCACCATTGATTTGTTCACCCCTTCTTTACTTTCCTCTCAGTAATTCGCATTCTTCAGTGCTGTTGCTTGATAAACAGCATATCAGCAAACTCATCTGAGTTGTACCAAGCTGTGGGTGGAAACACAACAAAAGCTAACAACTGACATCAGACGTACAGATGATCAATGTTTCTCATTCCTTGCGATCAACTTTTTTCCACCTCTCTGTTGCCCTCCCAAAGCTGTATCTGTCACTTATTTATTTATTTCAATGCAGTGAGACTCATAGCGGTTCATGGAGACACACTGCATGGCTCTTGAAAAAGAAAGCTTTCTGGGGACTTTTAGAAAACAGAGAGTTTATGGCGACCATTTTGGGTCTCATTTGTGGCTGCTGCTGGGAGACCTCATACTGGTTACTTAACTTCTCTGTGCCAAAGTTTGTCATCTGGAAAATAGAGGTAATAATCCTTTTCAGCCATGCAAATATACCGTGGCTCTCGATTCATTGTAAAGCACATTAAGACAGTCCAAGAGGAGCAATAATGAAGTGAGAGATTTTCTCTGTGTGAATACCAAAGGTTTTGAACAAGGCAATATATGTTCCCTGTCATTTTCATGAATATAATTAAACATATGGTTAGTCAGAGATGGACAAAACCAATCCTAGAGAGAGAAAACTCAAAGTCAGGTGAGCAATAATCAACCCCTGGGGATCAGGGAGGATGAACATCTGGTCAGGTCTTACTAATTGGGAAGACTCCCCTGCTCCTACAGCTTGGGACAGCTTAAGTGAAGCCACAGAGAAAAAAGTAATCCCTTTTTGAGGACACTGATCAAACAAGAGATGCTGCTGGAAACATGGGAAGATGATCGCATTGAAGCCTGTTAATGAGCATCAGTGTTAGGGACAAGTTACAGATTTCTCATTCAATTGCCAACACTGAGGCAACCCTTTGACAGCATCTGGGCTGGAAACCAAATACAGAAGGTCACCTGTGATGGAGGCCAGTGCTCAAGGATGGGCTTTGCGTCTGGAACTTACCAGGGGGACAGCTGGGCTGGGAAATGCTTCCTCCAGCATGGCTGTTGCTTGGGTTAGTACAAAATGTATTCCCATGTTTCACATGAATGTCACTTTAATGGTCAGGATAATTGGCAGGTAGCTCTCCCAGGTCCTCCTGCTGTTTCTGTGTGACCTTGAGTAAATTGCTGAACAAACCCCTTCCTGCAAAGTGAGGTGGCCTAGATCTGAGGGGGGACCATGGGGCTGAATCAACCATTGCAACACTGAAATTATTTCTAAGGGAAGGAACAATGAAAATGACACACATTGATGTCAACATGTTTTTGATCTAGTTCAGCTATCTTTTATACAATGACAGAGTTAAATATTCTTAATTAAATATTTTTCTGTTTGAAAAAATAGAAAAGAACTAAAAGGCCTGAGCAATGATTAAAAAAGATTGACTAAAACTCAGAGGCAAGCTCTTTTCCAAGGAAAAGAAAGAGCCATGAGGAAGATCCATGAGTAACTATGTTGGAGAAGGTCTGCAATGAAGAAGTGGAGTACATTTGAAGGGTTGCTGGTATCTAATGTAGGCACTTACATATGGAAAGTCACACTGGACTCTTTGTATAGTGAATGAAGAGATGGTGAAATAGCAACTGAAGATCAGGGCACAATTCATCTCATCTAAGGTAGACACTTATATTTGTCCAAGGAAACTTGCACTAGGAAAGACACTACCACAGTCAAGTTTTGCACAACAGGAACTACTGAAGTGCTACAGGTGGCCCCTAAGACTTTGCTGAAGAAAACTGGGCTCTGACATAGTGCCATTTAGAACAAATTCATGATTAATAGGCTTAACAGGTGGCCAAACTGTTGTTTGGTAATATGGAGGGCTCATGTTCTGAGCTTCCTCTGGAAGGTTCTTCTGGAAGGTATAAATAGCTTCCTCCAAAACCACTCAGTGGCCCAAGAAATAAAGTAGGGCTATATCTACATATTTGCTTGTTTTTCCTTTTAAATGCTTGCAATAATACTGCAGCCTTGCAGGCTTTCTTCTTCAAGAGACAGATTCCCTCAGATCATGGCAGTTTGATTCGTGGACTGTAAGACCTTCCCAGTGTGGGAAACCACCTTTAGAGAGGAATGCACTGGGGCTAACTTTGTTAGACACTTACCTCTACGAGTCCAGATCCCCTTATAGTTATGGAGAGAAATGGGAAATTCCACTGAATAAAATGTCTCATCCTAATGTCAAAACAGGTGTCAAAAGCAGCTCACAGAAATCACATACTGAAAGTGCTTCTCTGTATTGACTCTGAAAGCATGCTATAATGTCTAACTCAGATGTGCATGTCGAATGTTTGGTAAGAGGAATCCCACCCATGGAGACAGGCTGTGCTGCGAGCTTTGAGGATGGACCTGCACTGGGAATTGGGACGGGGTTGTTTGATTCTAGTCTGATACTCCTTGAATGGACTCATCTGACTGCAAAGATTGGAGGAAAAGGGCCACTGTCAGAAACAGAAAATGAAATATAATGAATCTATTTATTGATCCACTGTGACAGGGAGGAAATTGTGCAAACTGGTGAGCAAATTTTGCTGGGAGGATTTGGGACAGTGGTCTAGGACAAAAGGCAATAGCTTTCAGTGCTTAGATTAGCATGTGAGTTTGGCAGTTTGTCTTCTCAGTTGAGCATGCCACATACCAATACCAAATCTCTGCCCTTTGCAGGCTTTATAAGTGAGTTGGACCTTGCATCTTAGAATAGATGGGAAAAATAGTTACTGCTGCCTCCTCACTTACATGGGAGCTAGGTTGTTCCTTGGCCACTGAAGATGCTTTACAAGTCATCAATGTCAGGCTGCAGGAATGGTCACCTTGAAACTCTTTTACCTGGTCAGATGAGCTTAGGTTTGGTTTCATTTCTCATTGTGGACATTGTTAACTCTCTAGAGCCCATCCCAAAATGCTTAGGAGTATTCAGGACATGAGAGGACCTTGTGGATGGAAATTAGATATTTCCAGACATTCACTTTTGCCGTGTCCAAGACATAAGGGTTACACCTAGGTGGCTTTGGCCAGGACCCACTGAGGAACAGCCTACAGCTGGTGCTAGAGCAAAACAGACATCTTCTCAGAAGTTGTAACTAGGGCCAGAATAATTTCTAGGAGATGGTGGGGTCACAGAGATTCATGTCCCCAGCAAGGGCTGTGGTGGTGAGGAGCGAAAGCAGCTGGTAAACTTTTCATTAATTCATGACTCTCTCTTCCATAGTCTCTTCTGCTGGCTCCAACCCTTCCTCCTTGGGCCAGTTTCTTCCTCCTGTGACCTAGAGAGGAAACCCAAGTAGGTGCCTGAGCTGAGGCATGGGAGGCCTGGGATTAATGTGTTTGCAAACAGGCTGGAGACAGACTGATTAACTGAAAGCCAGTGGGATGAAGGACAAGGCTAACCATCAGGCTGGGATGTGGGGGATGTTTTCACTAGCTGCTGTGGGAGCTGGGTAGGTGAGGGAGAACTTCTCACAAAAGAGAAAGGTTCAATTACATGCTGCAATGGTCCCGGTTGCAGTGGGAGCGTGAAGCATGTAGCCCTGGGGTCTTGACTACATTTCTGCCTGGCAGCAAGATTTTGCACTTTGTGCAGGGCCTGCTGTGCCTCTCTGTGACAAAGCTCAGCTGGGGAGAAGTAATGGGGCTCATCAACATGTCACGGTCCTTCAAGATCTTTGCATGGCATCTTCCTAGCTTTATGTTGATCTATAACCAGTGTTCCCCTACCACAGCACAGTCCTAGAAACCTTCTTTTTATACCTCAAACTAGTCAGCAATGCTTTTCCCCCTGCCACTAAAACTCATCCTACTCTACAAATAGTCTTGAACAACCTTGTAGTAGCCTTGAGCAACTAGTTCCTTGTGGGATTACTGTTGGGAGTGCTGTTCATGTTGTAAAAATGAGATCCTAACAGACTTGCTTCAGCAGAGCATTTTGTTGGGCTTGCAGCAGTACTGCCTGCAGCGTTTCTTTCTGGCCATTAAAAGCAAGGTCCTCGCACAGCAGCTTGTCCCAGGGGCTGGCAGCAGCCCTGGGAACCTCTAGGAATGCATGGAGAGCAGAAAGCTGTGTTCAGCTCCCTGTTCCACTGGTGAGGATCTGCAGTCACCCCGCCAACGTGTGGCTAGGAGGACTGTAAAGAGCATTGGCCAGACTCTGTGGTTTTTGTGTTGGTTTTTTTTTTTCCCTATCCCAGTGGCTTCCCAGATACAGTTTTCTCCGTTTGAAGAGTCAAAAGCAAATTGTGACTCTGATTTCTACATTCCTACTGTCCTGACTGCTGCTGTGCCAGCTGTGTGGGTCAGATGTCCCCTGTCCCATTATGAGGTTAGGACCCATCAGACCATACCCATGAGCTGTGTGTCCTGTGTGCATTTGGGGACTAAGTGTCATCGGGGCAGTCCAGAACAACATAGCTCTTTGGGACAAGGAATGGAAAACCCAGAATGAACCCCAAACTGCTATGTAGCCAGGACATTGGGACTAGTGAGATTTGTCTCACCAGAAGTCCTTTGTTGGTGTTCTTTAGCCATTCATTTAGCCATGACATTTCAGGTGTTCTTTAGCCATTCTCTATCCAAGTACTTCATGCCCTGTTTAACTTGGGAGGCAAGGGGAGGTCATCATTCAGCCTTAGTCAGGGAGATGATGGTGTTTCTCTGTGTTCCTGCTTGTTCGGCAGTTTCAATGCAACTTTTTCCTGCCTTCCCTCTAGGCTCGTGTAGGAGGGATGGAGTTCTCCCCAGGGATGGTCTACATCTCTCCAGACAGCCCTCTCAGCTTGCCAGCTATTGTCAGCATTGCGGTGGCCGGTGGCCTGCTCATCATCTTTATCGTGGCTGTGTTGATTGCGTACAAGCGCAAATCCAGAGAAAGTGACCTCACCCTCAAGCGTCTGCAGATGCAGATGGACAACCTGGAGTCCAGGGTGGCACTGGAGTGCAAAGAAGGTAGGATGAGGAAGGAAGGCTGACACTGTCTCAGTGTTGGTAGAAGAGAGATCCAGCCACAAACCTTTGAGCCAAAATATCACCAAAGAACAGGAATGTTGAAGCCTGTGGGTCTGGCTCAAGCCTGGATCTAATCTGACTTTGTCTATTTTCCCTAAGTCCAGCCTTCCTCCACCCTGTCCAAGCTGTATTTGCTAACTCGCAGTCCAGGGAGAGCGTTGGCACGTGTCCCTGGGGAAAGGCTGTGTTGCAGGAAAGGTGACACTGCTGTTGTCCACCTTTTTTTTCCTCTCCACATGTTGCTTCTCCACTTGTACCTTAGTTTCATGCACATGGGTCTGAGGGCTTTTCCCATCACAGTGAGGGAGATCTGGATTGTCATTGCTACATGAGTCCTTCCTTTTTTGTGTCAGCCTTTGCAGAGCTACAGACGGATATTCATGAGCTGACAAGTGATCTGGATGGAGCCGGGATCCCCTTCCTCGATTACCGAACATATACCATGAGGGTGCTTTTCCCTGGCATTGAAGATCATCCAGTCCTGAGGGATCTGGAGGTAAGAAATCAACATCTGCTTCTGGCTGCTCTCATGCCTCCCTATTCTGTCCTGAATGTAGGAGATGTTGTGTCAGTGGTGGGGATGTGATGGCTTACAATGCTGTGTCCTACCAGGGACGAAACATTACCTCCTTAAAAGTCCACGTTGAAAGGGGAAGACGATTGTTGCTATCTTAAGTGTTAAATTCTGTTTGATCACTCATATATTTGGAAGAGTGTCATAGAGCTATGTGCATGAAGTCTACTGTATTAAGCTCCTCCTTGGTCTTCATCCTGCTGGGGTTTGTTTTTCAGACTGAACTTATTAGTTAGAGATGTGCAGGGGCCAGGAAAAAATGTTGTATGGCAGAGCAACATAGCTGCCTGTGTCACTCCAGCTTTGCACAACACTGACCCTACCGAGAAGCCTTTTTTCCTGGTAACACCTATAGAAATAACCTGCAGTCACTGAAGGAGGTTCACCTTTGCTGTGCTCTGTGGTTTGCAGGGAAGTCAGAAAACCACAGCATCAGTCTGCCCATACCCTGCCTCCTCTACCCCAACTCTCCAGACCACAGCGGTGGGAGGACAGTGAGGTGTTGCCCAGCACTGCTGGGGTCTACACGTAGCCTGCATTACCTCACTGGCGACAATGAGTTTGATGGGACCCCGGGTGAGGTCTGCCCATGCTGCAAAACTCCTTCAGGCTTTGGCAGATGGACAGGCTCTGCTCGAGGGATACCAGAGAACCAGGGGATACACCATGGACAAGGCCAGGGAGGTCGTTGGCTGAGTTCTCTGCAAAGTCTTTGGCAAGGTCTCAGCTTCAGAGAGACTCTGGCATGGGCTGGTGACATTGCTGGAGGCCAAGACTGGGGTTAGTTGGCAGAGAGGAGGAACAGGCGCTGGTGCAGGCAATACCGTGCTTGGCTGGTAGTGTGATCAGAGGTGCCTGCTTGTCTTTGCTCCTTCCCTTCAGGAGAGTCAAAATTCATCAAAATATATAGAATCATAGAACAGAATCATAGACTTCTGGAAAGAATGGAAAGAACCATTAAAAAACCCCTGATCTGTCAGCAACGAAGACTTGTGGGATTGGGTAGGAGGCTGAGTTACACATTGATTACTGTAGATATTCACCTTTGGGGTGCAGGTAGCGTGGCCTCGAGCTGCTTTCCCTCAGGAAGAGTAGCTCAGCAGCTTCAACAAATAAGCACAAGAGACAAGGGGTGATGAATCTCTCTCTCACGTATGTATACACACACACAAACACTTTCATCATACCCACAGCCAGTTACAATCCCTATATTCATTAACCTCAGCCAGCTGACCACAGAATAGCATCTGACCCCTACAGAGGTTTTAGCATGGATGCTCCCATATGCAGATACATACAGAGAGACACAGAGCTCATGTTTCAATCTGCCACCTTTGATCTCTTCTTCCTTTCATTTAATTCATCCTTTTTTTTTTCCCCTTAATCCTCTGTAAAGCTTCAACAGCTCTTTCAGTGACAACATCTTTGGCTACCAACATATCAGGGAAGGCAGTTCCCATTCTGCTCCCTTCTCTGTAGCACCTAGGAGTTGCTATTTATTGCAAAAGGCCCCAGCGTAGATCCTGCAGTGAGCAGGTCTTACTTATTTCCAGTTCATTTGCTAATTAACTGCTTCCAGATGCAGTACAAAATACTTTTTTTATTATTTTTTTTTAAGTCTCCATAATAACCCAGGGATAGACAATATTAAGTGTTCACGCAAGTGAGTTAAAAATAATTATTGGTGGGATGGGTGGTAGTAGTTGGTTGGTTGGTTGTCTCAAGCTATTTACTAAGTAATTTATTTGCTGTGTGCAAAAAGAGTTAAGAGCTCTAATTTCCAGAATGAAAAAGTAATGAGTCTTTAAGGGGTCTTGCATTACTTGGTTGTTTAAGCGTGCCAACTTCTTTTGGATTAAGGTGCCAAATCTGGTTGGTTATTAATACGTACATGCCTCAGTGACATGTGTTGCTCTGTGTTGAGACCCTCCAACTTCCAGGGAAGCTTTTTTAATGGTTGGAACAGCTTCAGCAACATGGAGAAAAGAGTTTGGGGTTCTCTGTTTAGGCTCCATTTTCATCTACAACCAGAAGGACTGGAAGGGGTAAAGCCCACTGTAGACTGTGGAGTCCAGGGTCCAGTGTTGAGGTCCTAAATTGTTCTATATAAAAACTAGTTCACCAGCCTCTCACAGCTGAGAAATATATTAGAGGTTTATCAGCCTCTCTGTCTCCAAACCATCTCACCTCCCAAGACCAGGGGGCCTACTGCAGTGGGACCTCTAAGACAGGTCCTCACACCTTCATCTATGTAGTTCTTCAAACCAAGCTCACCATCTCAGCCACTGCCTCACTGCATCTCTTCATTTCCTCAAAACCTGACCCCAGGCTCTCTTCCCTATTCACTTTCTTGCTGCCTCTCCCAGCTTCTTAAAGCTGAACCCCAAATCTCTGTAAGCAGGTTTCTTGCAGGGATGAAAAAGAGGTGTTTGGTGGAGATAGACAGTGAGACTTCAGTCTGACTACAATAAAAATACAATATGGTATGGTACCACACCAGGCATTAGCAATCTCTTTTTGATTCAGGGTTGGAAAGTAATCATCTGGCTGTGGCTAGGAGGCCTCTCAGGCTTCCTAATTATCAGGTGACGCATGGAGTCTCTTCCTTTTTACGGGACTATCCTGTGATGCAGAAAGAAGGACTCACCTGCCTGCTAGATGCAAGACACTCTCTTTTTTTTAATTGTTTCTGCTGTTTGAAGCAGCTTTTCCCTTTCCTTGTCTCAGAAGTGACTTCTGCTTGATGTCAAAGTGTGTAGCTAGAGGAGCTGGAGGGATGAGGGCAGAGAGGTAGCAAAGGGAGTGTGTGTGACCCATTTGGGAGAGGTCTCACAGCGGGCAGTGACTGAAAGGTATAAACTCCTTTTCTTCTTGTGCAGGTCCCTGGCTATAGGCAGGAACGGGTGGAGAAAGGCCTGAAGCTCTTTGCCCAGCTCATCAACAACAAGGTTTTCCTGCTGTCCTTCATCCGCACGCTGGAGTCCCAGCGCAGCTTCTCCATGCGGGACCGTGGTAATGTGGCCTCACTAATCATGACGGTGCTACAGAGCAAGCTAGAGTACGCTACTGATGTCCTCAAACAGCTCTTGGCCGACCTCATAGACAAAAACCTGGAGAGCAAGAACCACCCCAAGCTGCTGCTCCGGAGGTAAGGATGCCTGGGGCTGGAGTGAGCTGGGCTGGGCAGCCTGTGTCCCACTGTCTAACATGAGCATGCTAGTCATCTTTGGAGGAAAGGGGCAAATTTGCTTGATTTTTGTTTGTGCAGGGGGTGTGAAATCAGGGTGGTATACAGCCACAGTTCACGTGACCCCGAAGGGCTGGCACGAAGCTGTTTGCAGAGAGGGGTGAATAAGGAAAGTAGTGCTGAATGAAGATTGAATCGCTCTCCCTTTCTGGTTTCCTGCTCATTTAAGACTTCCTGACAGAAGCGTGTCTGTAGATTTTGCTCCATCTCCTCTGTAACCAAAAAGTAGTCAGTGATTAAAAGTTACAGAACTGAACTACTTCTGGATTTTAACATGGATCTTCCAGAAAGCTTCGTAAGGGCAGCAAGAACCCATGCCTCCTAATCCTTATTTTGGACTCTTTCTGTGCTTAAGGCGTTCATTTATGCTTATATTTCCTTTTAACATGAAAACTCCCATTGCATTGTGTAAGACCTATAAGTATATCACATAGAACAGGCTGTATTATATCCCTGCTAAGTAAGAAAGACAGCTGCTGCCTTCTCCTGCCTGGGACGTGGACTTCCCTGCTGTGTTTCTTGTTCATGAGTTAACTATAGACACATGGAGGGTCTTCTTCAACTGCATTGTGGGATCTTCTGCCTCTCCCTAAGCATTGGCACTGGGAGCTTGTTGAAGCGAGTAGCAGAGCTGAGCAAGACAAAAGAACTGGTTTCATATCAGGCACAAGTTTGGGTTGGTGCTTCTTGGCCAAGTCTCAGGTTTAACAACCAGGGTTTTATGGGAACCCCCGAATTAGAAATCTACTGCTTCGTAATTGATGTGCTTTCTCTGCCTAGGAAATTCTGCCTCTTCTCCCTTTAGGACCATATTCATCCCCTTTTCAAGGTCTGAACCAATCCTGATTCAAGCAGGACCCTAAGTAAAATCAGGGGGAGTCTACTAGAGATGGATGGCCTTTGCCACTGTTCAGAGCCAACTTTGAGGAGCCCTCAGCTGATTGCGATGGACATCTTGGGCAGGGAAGAGATCTGCTGGCAAGGTTTTCATCTGGCACACAGCCCACTGTGGAGAACCAGCAAAAAAAGGAGGAGAAGGCACTTCCTGGCATTCAGGGTAGCAAAGCCAGCGGCAGAGGCTGGACTTTGCTTTGGTGTCAGTTGACTCCCTGATGTGATTCAAGCCCTGCAGCCTGGCTGGTGGCCTCCCTCCAACTGTCCCCAGGCTTCCTCTCTGTGCTTCTCCTCTGATGCTGGATGGCACTGCCTCCTTCCAACTGTCTCCTCCCTTCATTTTCTCCTTTTTCTTCCCCTTTCCCCATCTCTTTATCTTCCCTGTTTTTTTGTTCCTATCTTGTCCTGAGCATCCCATCTTCCCTCTTTCTCCTTCTTCCAGCTATTTCCTAACTCTAGTCCTTTGTTGGAAGTTAAATGTGGCCTTTGGAAGGAGAGCTAGTGAACAAAGAAGCCACCTCCACGGGTTCCAAGCTCTGAAAACAAAAGGAGAAGTCAGAGATGTGGTTTGTGCTCTGAGATGGAGGTCCTGCACTGAGCAGCACCAGGACAGAGCCTACCAATGAACATGTGAATAGCTCACTGCCTTGGGATTCAGATGCTGGTGTGAGGTCCCCAGACAATTATTTGGAGCAGCTGGATTCAACTTGATGCTTCCCCTCCCTCCCTGTGACTCTGTGGATGGAAGGGAATCTTCCAACACCTTTCTGCAGTGTTCGTTTTGGGGGTATTTGACAGGAGGAAGGAGCTGGCTGGAATGATTTTCCCACCTCGCCTGTGTCCGGTTCATCCCACATGACATCTACAGCCTCAAAGAGATCAAAGTCGTCAGGGCAGAGAGCAGCAGATGGGATTTCAGTTCTTTTTCTCATGGTAATGCTAAGTTTGCACCATGTGATGGGTCCCAGGTGTCACACCAGGGAGCGTCGGAAAGAGCACTCTTCCGCATGGCATTCCCTGAAAGGAGCTCAGACCATGATAAGCATGTGGATTGCTGGAATTGAATATCATACCATGACCAATGGAAGACAGCAGCTAGGTGATGTTGACTGAGGGGAATAAAGGGCAAACAGGCTGGTTCGGACAGAGGCAGTCTGTAGGCAGAGACACAGCAATGATCACTGTAGACAAAGGAAATACAGCATTAATCTGGTAGCAAACTGGGACCATATCACCTCTTTCTCTGGTTGCAGGCAAGAGAAGAGGAGCAACAACAAACACCCCTGTTATCACTCCTTCCCCCACCATCCTCACCATCTAAGCGAGATGTGCCCAGAGAAATCCCTATGGACACCAGGCTAAAGATCAACTGTGTTTAGCTTGGGAAGGGACCGTCACTTACTCTGTGTTGGTGTAACAGGACACTGTTTTCAGGCAAGGTCGCTGGGTGGTTCCAAGCATACAGCTCCAGTGATGCAAACCCTTCTCCTTGCAAGTCCTGTGCTCCAGAGGAAGATCAACTTTATGCTGAAGGACTAGGAAACCTAAAAAGCAAGCTGCAGCCCTAAGTGAGAACCCCTGGGTGGCTTGGACAAGGAAGACCTACTTTAATTCATCCAGGCAGGGATTTTTACTTTCTTCTTGAGCAGCACCAGTGCATGTGCTGGAGCCAACACAGATTTATCCTGCGCTTCTGGTGTCCAAACCACATTTACAGGTCTGAGTCAGTCCTTCTGTAGGAAAAGTTCACCCTGAAGACTTGAGATGGATTTTTGTCTGATTGAGGACAGAGCGTTCAAGGGCAACAGGATGAGCTCTGTGAATGCACCACACTGACACATTGAGGAGTATAATCACTCCCAAATGCCAGGGAGATAATCAGTGCCAAATAACTATTCTCTGGTGATTTAGATCTGTCTGTCTTAAGTATTTATACAGCCTACTTGTCATATGGCCTAACTCTAAGCTCCTTATATTTGATGGATTTATCCTTCCTGAGCACCTCTGAGAAGGTTCCCTCAAATGTTGTCATCTCCATTTCATTGATGGAGAAACTGAGAAATAGACATATGGGGACTTCCTAGTCACAGGAGAATCAACAGAGCAGTAAAGATTTGCCTGAAGGTTTCCTAAATCCAAAGCTAAAACAGAGAGCCTAGGATACGCTTAATCCTGATGGTGTCATGCCAGACTTTCCAAGGGGCTCGGAGATCTGGGCAGTAAGATGGACAAAGCCAATCTTTTGACTAGCCCTTTGATATGACCAGCATAACTAACTCATTTCCAATTTGCTTTTTCTTCTGGGCTGATTTTAGGACAGAGTCTGTGGCTGAGAAAATGCTCACCAACTGGTTCACCTTCCTTCTGTACAAGTTCCTCAAGGTAAGAGGAGCAGCATGCCTGGAGGAACAGCTGCTTTAATGTATTTCTTCTTGGCAAGGTTTAGTTAGGGCAAAGAATTCCCAGGTATGAAGGAAAAGGCTTTTTTTCTCAGGAGAGATCTCACTGCCTAGTGGGAGAGGGCTGTTTTCTGATCCAGGGAGAACAAAGAAGGACAGTTTGTTACAGAGGCAGCCTATTGGTCTTACTCCTACAGAGGTGGGATCTAAGGGTCAGCGCTGAAACATGAAGGATTTCAGAGCCTGGCAGAGACCTGTACTGAAAATGCTCTCCTTTTGCTAGCAGACTCAGATCTCCATCCCGTGATGACCCATATTTTCAATGTATAGTGGCTGGACATCTCCTACCACCCCAGTTCAGAAGCAGTACTGAGGCCCAGTGCCTCCATCATTCCTAGTGCTTCCATCATACTTACCCTGCTTTACCCACACCATAACCAGATCCCTGCTTAGTTTAATTTAGGGTCGAGCCCAAGCTCTTCTTGGCATAAGGCTGCCTCAAGCTTGCCCTGGGCATGGCCATACACCCTTTGAGTACAGAGGGCTGGACTCGATACACCATGTAAACCTGACTGCTGCATCCAGAGACCAGCAGGGGCTGAGGCTGTTGCTGCTTTGTATCCCCATGGGAGATAGCATTGGCTTTGCAGGATGCTCATCAGCAAACAGTGAAAAGACTTGAGACACCCCCTAAGCCCTCTCATTCGTCCTGGAGGGCCTCCTTGGGGTGGTGTGTAGTAAAAAAAAGAGGCTTTCAGCCTTTGAGACCTGCCACTAACTGTTGGGTGATGGCAATTTCCTCTTGGGGACCCACATTGAGCCCCAAGCATGCTCATTGCCAAGGCACCAAACTCAGAGCCAGCCTGTTTGGAAAGAGCTGGGCTCTGCACCTCTCCCCCACTCCCAGTGCAGTTACTAAATATCCTTACACCTTACAGCCCCTTTTGGACAGAATAGCCACCCTCTGCCTGGCAATTCAAGGCTTTGCAAATCAATCCCATTCCCCTGAGCCTTCCCCAGGCACAACCAGTCCAACGATTGTTGTGGTTTAACCAACACATGGGAAAGTTTTGAAGGTCCCTGGAAGGTAATTTCAGTGACTTCAGTATCAGATTCCTGCTTTCAGCTGAAAGGAAAGGATATAAGGAGGTGACTCTCTAAAGAGCTGCTTTTATAATAGGCTTTTTTCACCCCACTCAGCTACTTGTCTTCTTGCCTTAGCCTGAACAGAGGCCTGATAAGGGCAAGAGACAGACACACAGAAGCAATATGCTGCTGGCAGATAAGCTAATTAGGTGAGAGACAGGTGTAGGAACTGAGAAAGGGGCCACTTTGCTTCAGATTATTAACTTGTTTTTGCTGGGATTTACACCAGAGGAAAATGACCTTGCTCATTGAGTTAGGACACACTGCAAGAGGAGAGGGCAAGGTGGGGAGGAGGAGAGGAAGGATGGAGAGATGAAGGGGAAGGGAGGCAATAGAAGGGGTGCATGGCAGCGAGTGTGCAGAGGGGGGGCAGCAAGGGAGGAGAGGCGAGGAAAAGTGTAGGGAGGAGTGCGGTGAGTGTGAACGATGGGAAGGAGAAATTAGGGAGAGGTGTGCTTTGCTGGCCCTGCCTGTGGGCTGCTTGTTGCTGTCCTGTGCTGGGCCCCACAGATCCGACATCACCCATGCAACCCTACAGATCCAGGGGCACATCTGCCCCCAGGTCATAGAGCTGCTCCTGCTTGAGCATCCCTATTTGCCTCCAGCATGGGAGTGCTCAGGGAGACTGTGGACTCTGCCCAGACACCCAGGAAGTGGCACCAGCAGTCCATCTCCCTTTCAGACCTGTCTCCAGGTCCTCTGGGACCCATCTCACCACCTGCTCCAGTGCAAAGCTCTGGCCTGGTGGCAATCACTTGAACAGCTCCTACAAGGCTCTGCTAGCCCCAACATTGCCAGGGAGCACTGACACCTTTGTCCCATGACAGGACACTCAAGACGGCTGGTTGCACTCTGTGGAAGTGGAGGGTCACCTCTATTCCCGGGCTGTATGGAATAGACTGATTCCCACTGATGCGTCTGTCGCAAGTGGTTGGGGGTGGCAAGACGTGGCAGTCATTGAGATGCTATGTAGGTTGGGTCGTCATCTCTGCTCCACGTGTTTCACCTCATGGTTGTCTCTCACCCCTGCAGGAGTGTGCTGGTGAACCTCTGTTCTCCCTTTTCTGTGCCATCAAGCAGCAGATGGAAAAGGGTCCCATTGACTCGATCACTGGGGAGGCCCGGTACTCGCTGAGTGAGGACAAGCTTATCCGACAACAGATTGATTACAAGACACTGGTGAGTGGTCTGAGCACACCTTCCTGTGGGCTTGTCCAGCCTCTTCTAGCAAAAGGGGATTTAAAGAAAAGAAGCCAGTGATGGGCATGTTGACTCTCTGGGACAATTTATTCTTGCAACCCAGCGGGGTTACCCTGCTGAAGACTAACTAGTCACATCCCCTAACACAGCAAGGTTTGTGGCTGAAGCATCTGCTTGCAAAGCGTGTTTGCAAAGACGGCTGCTTCCAGATTACTTCCATTGTGCCCTGCCCCATGCCCAGAGCATCTTCAGCTCCCCAAAGGCATTGTTCTCTGAAAGCATCTGCACTCATTGCAGGGTAGGCTGGCAGTGCCAATCCTTTACCATTACTTGGATTAGATGAGGTCCGGGAGCATTGGAAGACAAGCGTGAACCTTGTGTCGTGAATATGCCTGTGAATGTGAAGACAATAGATATGGACAATTTACTCTGTTCTGTTAAACAAAATACTTCCTAGCATTTACCCTTTTTTCCTGGAGTGATGCCCACCCTTCCAACATCCCTCTGAGTTGTAAGTCAAAGGTAACAGTCTTCCTACAGCAGAGAGGTGGGGTAGTCACTGCAAGCTGTCACCACCCTGACCTCTTCCCTGGGAGGAGTGTGATATTCATGGTGGGGTTTCTTCATCCTTACTCTTGGGACCACCTGGTGGTATTTTGATCCCCCCTCTCCCCATCACCTCCTCCCTTCTCCCTGGTCCCCAGCACCAGTGGCAGAGCTGCCCAGCCCGGGCACACAAAGATCTGCCTGCCCGGGGTGGCAGCCCTTGGCCATGCGGGGTGTCCCATCGCTGAGCTCAGGCAGGTTGGGCACAAGTCTTTGGCCACGGGACACTTGTGATCACAGGGACACCCAGCTCAGGGCACGGCAAGTCCAGAGACGTTCTGAGACCTTGTGGTGTTGTGTCAGAGAAAATCCCGTGGCCTTCTGCAGATGACAGCCAAAATGTTTTTTATGAGGCTACATTGCAAGGATCTTCTCTAGAATAATCCTCATGAGAAAAAAAAAAAAAAAATCTGTTTCTCCAATGAAGATTTCAGCATCAAGGAATATGTTAGAGGTACACAGTGGAGAGAGCTATTAGGTCTTCTCTAGAGGTAATGCAACCATTCCTCTTGAGCACGCACAAGTCAAATAAAAATGAACTTGATTTAAAGATTTCAAGGGAAGGAAAATTAATCCCTGTCACTTGCTTCAAAATGTAATTGTCTGCATGGTGAAAGACATACAGTGCATATGTCCAGCTTTAGCTTCTACTCTGAGATTACACCCTTTCCCCACTTGATTAAAGAGCATCAATTAAAGAGCATTAGATATCTCTTCTTAGTGTGTTTGTGGGCCTTCACTTTTTCCTGGATACACTAAATCCACTGAGCTTTTAAGTCTCTGTGGGATGAAGAACACTTCCCATGTCTTCAATGATCCTTCAATGATCTTTATTTCCCATGTCTTTGTCCTCAGAAAACCCCAACCCCAAATTTTAGGATGGTCAGAAGATGCTCTGAACTTATCAGGTTACTTTATTTGCACCTTCAGTTGAGGGACATTCATCTCACTTAACTCTAGCTAGCTTTGAGAGCTGTGTCCAGTCAATGTTAGATCCTTGACCTGTCTTAGATCTTAGCTCAGATGGACTGACGCTAGAAATGCCTGCTTTTCATCAGCAACTACAGACAGTCTAGAGCCGAGCTTTGACTGAATCCAAGTCTGATGAGGGCGCAGACTTTATTCTTAAATAAGACCACAATTTTATTTTGCATATTAAAAACGTGACTTTCCTATTAAATCAGCAGCGTAGTGCTGCTTTTCTATTACGTGTGGTTGTCTAGCAATTTGGAGGCCTGATCTCACACGGAGAGAGTGAGCAAAAGGAAGAAAAACGCAGACACAGAGTGATCGCTTTCACCAAAGGAAATCCCTCCGATCCTTTTAGGCTTGATATAAAGCAGCCAGCAAAGGATAGTAATTATACATCAGCCTGAACAAAGCTCTCCTCCATTCGCTTTGTGTCATTTGATGTTAATCAGCTCTCCCTCTTACATCTCAAGAGCAGACGAATATATCCCGATAGGAATCTCAGCAGATTTACAGAGATCATCTTCGGTGAAGGAGATTAAGAAGGAGCAGAGTATGAATAGGATTGTTCTTCCTTTCTGTTTGTCTTTATATCTGTTTTATTTTGTCCTTCCTCTACCTTCCTTAAGCAGTCTGTCACCTTTTATTAAAAACATATAGTAATGAAGTGAAGCAAGAACTGGTTCAGTATTTGTAATATAGGAATTCCCTCAATATCTGCTGCTCTCTACCAAATGCACCTGGTCACCACTGTGAGTTTGCAGTGTGTGTGGCTAAAATCCATCGGGTTGTTCACGTTTCATGAGTGCTAGATGACTGCTTGACTGAGTTAAATCACAATTCCAGCAGCATGGCACATTGAAACAGGCTGTTTATTGTCATCATTCCAGGAAGACAAGGCCAGGGCTTCTTTTGGAAGGCATTTATTCCTTAGCCTTCATTAATCATGACCAAATATTTTAAGTCATGGCTTCAAATGTGGTTTGAGTGAAAAGCAGATCCAAAGAAACTGACTTACCCAGGGAGAAAAAAGAAGACAGAGCACTTTCAGACATCTGAAATTACTGATTTTACAATACACACCTCATTCACTAAATTCAGATTGTTTCAGTCTGATTTCTCTCAAACCAGATAGCTCCGATTTGCTGTTTGCCAGGTCCTACAGTTCTCCAAGGAAGCAGCCCTCAGTGCCCTAGGGTCTTTGCGGACTATAACAATTTCTGTACTTACAAGGGATTTTTCAGTCCAGGAGAAACTAAGCAAGTTACAGAAGTGATTTGCTAGAATAAATGTGTTGCAGCTAAACAGTAGGTCTTCTCCTTACTTCTCCTCAGAGAAACATCCTCTTGTGTTAATGTCTTCGCTAGCAGTCAGTGCTCATCATCTCTGGTCTGCAGTGTTATTAAAAACCCAGCTAGATTATTCCACCTATGACAGACAAGAATATCTCACTCTGACTGCCATCTGCCTTTGCCAGAATCCATGATTTTTTAACTATTCACCAAACCAGACTCCAGATGCAAAAACCTCACTCCCTACTGTCACTGCTCCCCTGTCACTGGGACATGAAAGACCATCCATCTCCTGCGTCAGCTTCATTTCTGTTGATACAAGTAATGCAGGGGAGCAAACACCTCGATGTGTGTCGGAAGCTGTCAATATTGTCTAATTAGTGCTTGGGGGTGGTAGGCGGGAGCTGCCCAGTACATCCTGAGCGATGGCACGCTCTGCGTGCTCCCTGCACACCTCGACAGCTCCAGTGCTGAGAGCCTAATTGGATCATCTCTCCTGACAACATATTCCAGATGGATAAAGACACTTTGAGCTGCCTTTGGTTAAGGTTTTTCAGGGAATTTTGGTGGCAGGGAGGAAGCCACCATTGAGATATAAAAAGGCTGTCCCATACTTGGCCTTTTTGGGAGTCTTTCTCCTCCTGCTCACTGCCAAGCCTCACTGTGTGCTAGCCCCCTTGGACCTTCCTTAGCCCAATCTAGAAGGGAGAGAAAGATGTCTGTCCCCGGGACAGAAACTGTAACGATGTCCTGGTCTCAGGGCAGATCACTCAAACACTGCAGAGAACTCAGAGCCAGGGTAATCATAAACTGTGCCTTTATTATTTCAATGCCAGTAATCCACAGTGGGGATCAGGGCTTAGCTGCTAAGCATTGCATGTATATATACACTTAGAGACAGCTCATGGCTGGAAGGGCTGGCGGACAAAAAAAGCCCAAGGATGTAGAAAAAGGTCAGTAAACACAAATCCAGTGACATGACATGCCCCAAGGTCATACACAGTCAGTGGGAGAGCAGGGCTCAGAGATTACTACTCCGCTTGTTGCCAGTCCCGTACCTTTTCATGTTGACCCCACAGCTGGCACCATCCTTATGCTGACACAGACCTCAACTCATGACAGAATAGTGGTGCCAAGTCCTGGTGTCCTTTCAGTGGCAAAATATTCAGCATCTACTTGAATGTCACTGGAGTCTTCTCCCCGCTTCATCTACCTTGCCAGCTCTGCCCCATAGGGTTCAAAGGCAGATGGTGGGTGATGGAGCAGTAACAGTGAATGCATTCAGGAGATCAGCATCACAAAGCTTCCCTCAAACTGACTAATCATGCAGGAATACAACACAGACCATCTCGGGGGTCTCTTCCCCACCAGTTGATGTCAAAGATTGTGTTGACATAGCCGAGCAGCACTGCAGGAGCAATGGGATTAGTTTTCTGTCTCATATTGGTTGTTATGGGGTGAAGCAGAGGGCAAACCTTACTTCCAGTAAGATTGGAGCATCTGAACTCTGCTAAATGGATAAAGCCGATGCTTAGATTTTTTCTCCTGGTCACCTTCTACCAGGGACAACCTATAGAAAGCTGGGAGGAGAACAGAGGAAACCCTTGGAAGGATTCACACAGAAGTGGTCGGAATCTCTCCCTCCATTGCAAACACCTTATTATGATTAGGAGCTTCAGTCTGTTGGATGAGCAGCAGAGATTTTCAATCTGTGGTTGATTGATTGAAATCAATAACTTCTATAAGGCTCATGACAATCTCCAAAGAAGAGCCATTTAGTGTATGCAATACACAGGTGCATCCTGCAAAATTCCTGAAGTCTTCGTACTGAGAAAATTTTAGTGCTCCACAAGAGAACAGTTGGAAAACCCCGAGAGCTGATATGAAACCTGGGGCATATATGTCAAAGCCATATATGTCTGGAAAGGGTGTTGGTTTCTATAAGCACTGCTTGAATTCCCTAAAATGTTGAAAGGAGCCTCTTGACTGTCATTGAAATGAACACGCTGAAATTCAGGGGTTTACAGGTACTACCAGCTGCCCCATCTATGCTTGAGACCACTAAGAGCAAACTTCTCTCTGCACAGCCCTTTGAAATATTGCCTCCCCTGCTCCTTCTTCTTCCAACTGAGCTGGAAAAAAGGAGAGCAAGGACTACTGTAGTCAGGGCATGAATGATCGTGGCTCACCCAGGCAGAGTTTTTCTGCCATCTTCCAAAGTTGGCACCCTATGAAATTCAAGAGCAACTAAGTTATAAGAGCAAATCACCTTTGTCAGCTTCCAGCTGGATGATGGTCCACATTGCACGGTGGGTTTGGTGTGGTGGGTACTAGTCAGCACCTGCAGGAGATGTTGGCCATTCTGGACCAGCAGCTAGATGCCTGGCAGGGTAACCCAGATTATTTTAAAGAGCACTAAGTACCTTCATGTGGGGAACTGAACCGAACCCCAGGTGTTTGCATCGGAGATGAGTAACACCACACAGCTTGCTCTGACCGACATCAGCTCAGTTCTCCTCAGCTGAGCTCAGATCACTGAGAAAGACTTGCAGAATAACTTGGTCTCCAGAACCATGTGTGACCCCCATAGCACTCTCAAAAGAGCTGTCCTACCCTGCCATTACTGCTTCATTTCCTACAGATGTGCAATGGGAGGGGGGCAACTAATAACCTCAACACTGGATGCATTTCAGCAGTGCTTTTTATGTATAGTTCTGTGATCCTTTGAGATGAAAGATGCCGCAGAACTGTAAATCTGTGCCATTGTTATTATTATCTGAATTGATGCTTCTTCAATACTCCTGGAAGTGACATATAAATAATAGCATTATGATCTAATCAATACCTCATATTTACATCTCCCCTTTCATCCAGAAAGATCACAGAGCTCTTTGTAAGCAATAACTTCACAAGTCCCTCTTGGCTGAGCATAACAGCACCAAAGGGAACCCGGTGAGCCAATATATAATTATACTGATACGATTTCACCCAGTTTCAAGCCATTTTGAGATCCCACTGCATCTTAGTAGGTTATGATGGAAAGTGATGGAGTCCAGTACCTATTGCATACTACAGAAGAGAATTTACAGTTAAGGTAGAATTTGTCTAAGGCATCGAAACTAACGTCTGCACTTGTAAAAGTGGCATGGGAACATTTAATGACCGTATATAGCCAGGAGCATCACTGAACACTCCTTCCAAGTGCAAAGGTGTGCTAAGTTTATAACAGTTTATACACTTCACACTCATGTAACCAGGAGAGAGCAGAATGCTCGGTATAGACATGACCAAGTGGGTAGATTGCTGTTAAACACTCTGTGTATCTGTTTAAGGCATTCCTCCCTCCCTCACCACCTCATATGCTTTGCATTTACTCTTGGACAGAGTCCTTGGAGAAAATTATATTCTTCTTCTGAGAAATGAGAGGCCTTTCTAGTTGGGTCAATTTTCTTGTTCTATATGTGAAAGCAAAAGGTTTTGTTGTTGTTGTTTTGTGTTTCTTTTTTTAAGAAGCCCTGCATTTCAAATTAATAACATTCTTCTGAGAAGGGTCTTGCTCAGTCCTGTGCTGTGCAGAAGATGGACAAACTTAAGTTTGAGAGATTGAAGAGCACTTTTACCTGAATTGTCAAAGTCAGGTGGCAATGCAAGGAGGCCACTACTGAATTAGGTCACCCTGCCAGCTCTCTAGGGAGCAGGGAAGGATCAGAGGCCAAGGAAAGCTCTGGAGAACCCTTTGGATATCAGCTCAGCTCCAACCAGTCAGGCCTGATTGCATTTTTAATGGTTTCTATGGAAAGGGTGTGTCAATGACCATTGTCTGGTACCATTTGGTGAATGCCATTTTTACTGAAAGCACCAGAACCTGAGCTGGTACTCATGGGCTTTCTGTTACTAATACAGCAAAGATACCAAGGAGATGAGGCTCAAATATAAGGGGCTGTTCCCACAGGTATAGTAGTTTCACCTCACAGAGATGAGTGGTGTGAGACACAAGTTCAGAAGAACCTTCACATCAGCCCCAAGTCACTGGCTGCAGCATCTGGGAGCCCACAGCATCTAGCTGAGAGCCAAATCCTGAGTTACCTTTAATTCACTGGGCACAGACAGTGGGAAGGGGCTGAGAGCAGCACAGGCACGGATGGATGCAATCTCCCTGTGTGAAACCAGATCTCTGTGCCCTCTCAAAGAAGAGAACGCTCTTGGTACACATTTTCCACCTTCTTGCACCCTAGATCCCTCTGGCTTGTAGGACGCAGGGACCTACAAGAAGGTGGCTGCGTAAGGGTGGCCACAGGGTACCCGTGCTGCTGTGAAATGCACAGTGGGTCTCACTGCATCTCTTTCAGGTCCTGAGCTGCGTCAACCCCGACAACGTGAACAGCCCCGAGATCCCAGTGAAGATCCTGAATTGTGACACCATCACGCAGGTCAAGGAGAAAATCCTCGATGCTATCTTCAAGAACGTGCCCTGCTCCCACCGGCCCAAAGCTGCTGATATGGACTTGGGTATGTGAGTGCACAACGGGCCCTGATTGCTCCTGGGCAAGGGGGAGAGAGGAGATGGGAGACAGCCAAATGCCACCTAGACACTGTTTTTTGGGGCAAGTGCCACCTTTCCAGACTGGGTGTACCCTTGGTGCTTGTGCAAGGCAGAGCAGCAGCAATGGTGAGAGGGCAGAAGAGAGTGATTAAATTGATGCATATGCTCCTGGCTTACGAAATCTTTGGTCCTGAGAACTTAAAAAGATCAGTAGCCATCCTGCTTTTCTGCCCACAGAATTCAGCTTGGACAAGGGTATGGAAAAGGCATGACTGAGGTTATTCTTGCTGTCTGCCAAAGGCTCCTGGAAAAAGAGCACCAAATGCCCAGGGTGGTATTGTCAGCAGTGTTCAGGCTGCAGAGATTTATTCCTAGCTCTTCTCTGAATAGTGAGGGTTTGGATTATAGATATCTTCTTGCTGAGATAGTCACAGCCCAAGCAGTATTAATTACTCGTTGTGCAGACAGAGGAAAGGGGATGAAGCATCTTCCGTTCAGTGGGCTGCATCCATCTCACCCCTGACGGCTTCCCTCTCCTGCCAGCACCCCACCACCAACAGCAGGGCTGGGAACTGCCGCTCCGACTTTTCCTTTCTGCAGAGGACTAGGAGGTCTTAAGGAAAGATTAGTCCCTCTGTTAATGTATTCATGGGTTTTTTTCTCAGTGGTTTGCCCTTTCGTGCATTGCTTTGCTTGGAGGGTGGAAAGAGCTACACCAGCTTCACTTGCACTTCTAGGCAGTTGTGCTTTTGATCTGTGGGGCACACAGGGAGATGTACAGCCCGGTGCAAGGGTGCTTCTGAGGCCAAAATCTATTTCTGCCCAAAATCTGGAGCAAGGATGCTGGGAGAAGTGAGATGTCTGAAGTTGGGGTCCTGAGGCAGATGTGATACTACACCTGGAGGCTACTATGAAAGAATGTAGGAAAATCTGCTTAGGGCATTGCTGAGGTGTCTGACAGGGAGCTGGGGACTGTATTGTGGCTGTATCTGCCAGAATTTGCCCTCAGTGACCTTCAGTGAAAGGGACTTGAGTGGAAAATGATGGAGTCTATAAAACCCAGCAAAGTAGAAGAGGAACCAAAAAGAGAAGGAATGGAGTGATGCCGAGAAACAATTCACAGCAATAATGGAGGCAGGAATGAGAGGTCAGGGATTAACATTAAGTGTCTGTATGTGTGTGCATATGTGTAGGGGAGGAGGGGATTCCTGACAGAAATTGCAGCAAGATTCCTGCTCATGAAAAGCAGTTAAAATAATGAAATAAGCTGCCAAAACCAGCAGCAATAAAGAACAGATCATATAGATCGTTCAGAAAGGACCCAAGATGATTTTGGAGCTGCTGTGAGTCAGCAGGTGAATGGTGAGTGCTGGGTGAGCATGAGGGCAGATAGGGCAGGGTACCAGGGCACAGTAGACCGGAGGAGTGGGGTTTACACCCAGATTTCCTAACCTCTCTGATGCTGGATGGTGGCCACAGAGCTCATTACATTTGGATCTCAGACTGGGTATGAGACGAAAGTAGTTTGTTCTGCTGTGGGGATGAATGATGCATCCGTACTGGGAGGCAGGAATTTTACCTGCGTGTTGCAAATACAAGGGATAAATCGGAATCTGCAGATTTTATTGTAGCTCTGACAACTGACAGATACAGAAGTGTGTATGTGCGGGGTCCCAGCTGGATCCTGATAATTTTGCATCCAGGACTGTTGCTGTTTTAAGCAATATTGACCTGTTGAGTAGTGCTGAGGACTAGCAAGTTCCAGAAAGTATTTATGAGCATGTGCATCCCTCAGAGGACAGACTTGTCCATGCTGACAGGAGACTGCCTAATGAGCAGCTGTTTGGCCAATAACATTGATGGTGCAATTGGGGAAAAAAACCAAAACAAACCAAAACAAAACACAAAAAACCCCTCATCTAGTAGAAGAGTCTTGTCAGCAGCAATATAGTTGCAGGCTCCTTTAGCACCGCAGTTAACAAGATGGGAGGAGCAGGGTTGGCATGGGTGAAGCAAGAGGATATGCACGTCCAGCCACAGCTCCAGCCCAGCCTTTTTGCAGGAAAAGATGTTTGTTGGCACTTGGCATCCTTCGGTGACAGTGAATACAGCAAGAGGAGAGCAGAAAGCACTGCTGGCCATTAGAAAGCAGCACAAAGCTCTCAGGATCAACCTGCCCCAGGCTGAATGCTCAGAACTGCCAAGGCGGCTGGATCAGCCCTGCCAGTCCATGCTAAACAGTAGGTCAGAGCAGATGACTGTAATCTGGCCTTGAAATCGATGGTTTTCTAAACAGCAACACCGTTTTCTATTACCATTACAATTTTCTGGGCTTTCTGTCCATACTAAGGCCAGATTGCTCACATGGAAGAAAGCAAACAAGCTAATGAGTTGTCTTGAGTTGTTAAATGCAGGGTAGCTGCAGGCAGAGTGACTTGTATGTGTCGCGAATGTCATAATGTTTTGCAGTTACCCAGACAACTCATGGAGGGGGTTGTCAGCTGAAAGCACTTATTTTGGACACCCTGAGGTTACATTTTAGTCCAAAACACAAATTGCAGCCCTCTGAGTAAAGACTTCTTTCTGCAGTGGCTATTTTTATTATTATTCTTATTTTTTAAAGCCCTCACCATAAATAAAATACCCCATCTTTGGGAAAGCGTTAGGGTGTGAGGATCACAAAACAGGAATTTGGCTTCATGCTGAGGCATTCACTCTTCCCTGTGTTTCGGTTGCTTTTTGAAATGGACTGCTGAGGTGATGGGAGCTGCTGGGTTGACTGCCTTGCACTCAGTGATGTTGTCTCAGGCTCATTGTGGAGCTTTCACTGCTTCATTGACGGTGCAGTACTGGGATGAGGGGTTTAACCTTTAGAAGCCATTTAAACTGAGTCTGACTCTAGTATATATACAGTAAGGCAGACAACTTGCACACAGAATAAAATATTTTCCAGGTATCTTCCATCTATGTGTTCTGATATGAACTTTTTTTTCCCAATCATGGTGTTCCTTTCTCCACCCCAGAAGCAGAGCGGAGTTTCTCCTCTCTTCCTAGAGGTCATCACACACTAGACATTTACCCATTTTTGTTTCCTACCCATCTGGTTGTACTGGTGCCTGCAGCATACAGACAAAATGTTTATTCTCCTATTCCCATGCCAATCTGTCTCTCACACGGAAATTGTTGGAAAGTGAAAAAGTACTCATAGGACTAAAAGCAGCCCCCCGGCTCTTCAGACTAATCCTTCATAAGCACGAGTGATCACGAAATAGGCATCGAGCCCGGGTAAGCCACATGCATGTGTTCCACATGCCATTGCTGTGCACAGTCAGCCACAAACAGTTTCACAGTCCTTCATGGGAGACCTAGTGTCGGTAGGGAAAAGGTGGGAAGCCCAATGTATGGCATGAACAGTTGACTGAAATGGATTGTGTGCGTCATGACCTAGAAGTGCCTGTAAAGGATGGCATAACTGATGATGACTAGCTCAAATGAAGGCACTTGGAGCGAGCTGGCAGGTCTTCCATCCACCTGTGTATTTCAATTGCCCCTGGAAAATGTTCTCTCTGCTGCACTTTTCTCCCTTGTTCAATGGGCATCTTCAGGGTGACCCGGATCAGCGAGAAGGCACAAGAGAAGTGTAACATTTTCCATAGTATTCGAGGTGCAGGAAGACATCTCCCCGTCTCCCATCTCCTCATAGAGTCATTCCCTAGCCAGGCACTGCTACAGCTCAAAGAAGCATCTCTCTGTCAAAGGCCCCTGGAATTTCCTTTTTCCCAGTCAAATTGAACAGAAAGGTTGTTTCTTAAAAAAAAAAAAAAAAAAAAAAGAAGTAGTAATTCCTGCGTGCAATAAAAAGATACACTATCTGCTGAATGAAATATAAAGGCTTCACAGCAGCTGTCTCCTGAGTTTGCATTTACCACTGCTCCTGATTGGAAGGCTTGATAAAGATAATGGGATTTTTTACCTCCCGCCCCCTCTCCCTCCCTCTCTCTGGAAGGTGGAAGTGTAACAAATTGGATTGGAGTATGTCTATCCTTTGTGCCGGCTCGCGGAGGAGTGCACAGATCTGATGAGCGAGGGGACAGGGTGCTGCCAGCGAGGACAAAGCTAAGAGTTTTCACTTAGTGCTGCGAACATGGATGTCAGGGTCACCTTTTCCTCCTTTGCGCCCTCCCTGCCCTTTCCCTTGCTCACAGCCATTGCGTTTCCTTGCAGATCGGTGTGTGACCACCTCAGCTGGCACTCTTGGAGAAGGGGAGCATGCAGTGCTCCTGTGAGACTAGGAAGAGTTCGGGGACCACAACTTGGGGCCCTTTCTCTGTTATGGCTTAGATGCATGATGAAGTGATTTGCATTTGGTCAGGGCAAACAGGCTGCAAAATTGAAGCCAGATGCTCTGAACCTGCCCTGCAGGGTGTTTTCCCCCTTGTCTTAGAATCATAGAATCACAGAATCATTAAGGTTGGAAAAGACCTCTAAGATCATCGAGTCCAACCCTCAACCCAACACCACCATGCCCACTAAACCATGTCCCTAAGCGCCACATCTACACGTCTTTTAAATACCTCCAGGGATGGTGACTCCACCACTTCCCTGGGCAGCCTGTGCCAAGGCCTGACCACAAGCTCAGGAGTCGGTCTTGTGCCAAGTCAGACTGGACCTTCCTCTTCCTCGCATGGCCTCTTTCTGCAGGAAGGCCAAGGGGAAGGGCTTGTCTGTGCAGGGGCACAAAGGGCTTGAGGGGACATCCCATGATGTCCCCAGCTCCCCTGGAACAGAGGGAAAGCTGCTCTAAGGACTCTGTCCAGCCCTTGAATACAAATAAAGCACAGAATGAGGAAGGCTGTGCCTACCCTTCATATCAGAGCCAAGTGCAACGCTGAGAACCTGTGCATCCCTCCCGAAACACTACGTGAGTGCGTGTCCCTCCCCAAAGATGAGTCAGAAGAGAGGAGGACCATAGTAATATGCAGAGCCCTGCAGGAGAGATGTCAGAGACACCATCCCCAAGAGACCATGAGGAAGGCACATAAGAGACACACTCTGTGACAGTAGAAGTGGCTTTGGCACTCGGTGGGACACTTCATAAGAGCACCGTTTCCCAGCCCAGCCCAAAGTTCAGCATTTTGTGCTCTTCCCAAAAATGCCTGGGACCACTTACCTTCCAGGAATCCAGTCCAGCTAGGAATGAACAGAGAGCATCACCCTCGGACATCACAAGGATAATGTAGGTGAGGATCTAAGGAGCTGGAGTAAATGAAGGGCAGTTCAGGGTGAGTGCTTAGCCAACATAACCTTTGCTTGCTCTCTGAGTATCTCCAGCCAAAGTAACACCCAGCAATAAACACAGCAGCTGACCTCTTCCTGCTAATTTAAATGAATAATAAAGGCAAGGGCGGCTTTCCCAATACATTTTAATTATGTGATAAGAAAACTGCTGAAACCAAAAGAAATTTGCAACGGTCCTTGCATTTTTATATTAGGAGAAATAAGCAAGGGTGGCAGGTGATGTCTCCATATCCAAGAGTTCATTTTAATTAACTCCCGCAAATAAACAGACTTTCTGCTTTGGCTCTGGCTAAACTGTATGTGGTTGGGTCACTGTGACTGAGACATGACAACCAAAAAGATAGCTTTGGATGGTCCAAGTTGCCTGTGGTTAAGCCACAGCTTTCCCTGGTGTCACCAGGTGATACTACATTTCTTTCCTTTTGGCCATGTTTATGTGTTCCTTGCCTATAGGCAAGTCTGTGAGTCCTCTGTGGGGAGAGCTGTGACAATCCTCCACATGGAGCATCCCTCAAGATTTGAGCAAAAGGTGGCACCCTGGGAAGTGACGGGGTGCTCCAGTGCTGCAGAAGGAGAGAAGCATTCATCATTTCAGGGCGGAGGCTGGAGAACTGGATGTGGTCAGAAACTGGAGTCCTTCTGCCCACAGGCATGCTGCTGAAGGCTGGTAGAGATTGCATCCTCCACGGAGCAGGGTGTTGGTTCTCTCTCTGGCTCTTCTCCCCATTGTGCCTTTACTGTGTCTGAAGTTAAGGACTTCCTGCTCTCCATCACTTTGGGATTTGAGTAGCAAGAAGTGTTGTGTGAGAACTAATGGAGATGAACTGAGACCAGTACAGGGTCTGGTGTTGTGCTGAACAAGACACTGCTCTGCCCAGGGGAGCCCTCTCTGTGGCTAGCTCTTGGCAGTTAGACGTGTCTCAGGTATTGATAAAGGCTGTGTCTATGCTGCTAAAGGAAAGAGGACCAGGGATGAATTTCTATCCCTGACACAAGTGGCATTCATTTGCTCCTGTCCCGTGGTGATGGCTAACATACACAAGGGCAGGTTGGTCTTGGAAACAGCCACGTTGGAGCAAGAACAGAACCAGGGAGTAAGCTAAGAGTTAAGCACTGTGAATAATCAGGGTGCTACAGCACCAGGCCTTGCTCTGTTCACCTTTGCTAATGGATCAACAGGTCTCTGGTCATTGCTTTATTTATCTGTATGGAGCTCACCACTGCGTGCTGCTGTGCCCTAGCCTTGGACCTCTCATCTCTGTAGGCAACTGCTCTATGTTCTGATCTCTATATGGTGTCACTCTTTAAAGGGGTGGGTGTTCCCTGTGCAAAAGTTTTTTTGTGATTGCAATATCATTTTATCAAGGGTAAAGAAAGCAGTCTGGATAACCTAGGACTTGACTCTGAACTTTGCCATATGGCTTTGATTTTTGCATACTTTCCTGAACCATCTTCCTGAACTTTTAATGGTTCATCTGTCTTCTCTTTCACATTTGTGCATTCGTGTGCTGTACGTGGTTGGAGGCATCTGAGAGAGTGTAAAGGCAATGACTGACATGCTGCTACACGGATGCAGCCTGCACATGTGTGACTACGTGGGTTATGGGCACAGGCATTACCAGGGCTCTGACCCCTATCTCAGAGGCTCTGCACAGCGGGGTTCAATGTCCCTGTTCTCCTTGCAGAGTGGCGGCAAGCAAGCGGGGCAAGGATGATCCTTCAGGATGAAGACATCACAACCAAGATAGAGAATGACTGGAAGAGACTCAACACGCTGGCACACTATCAGGTAACTGTGTGAGAGGATGAGTAGAAAGTAGATCAGCTAAGAAAATAGAAAGGAGAAGGCCAAAGTGTTATTCTCTAAGGTGCAGAGGTAAACAATGGTTGAGTGGGCAATAACTGGGCAGAGCCTCTGTGTTGAGTACTTCCATCCTGTTCCACTGTCCTTATAGTAGTTACCCTGCACAACATGAAAGATGAAGCCAAGGGAAGAAAAAATCTCTGTCAAAGGAGACAGAGTGAGTGGTGAGTGAAGGATGTGAAGAGGAGATGTGGTCAGGAGGACAACACAAGTTAACATTTCCCATGTAGACAAACAGAAAACAAGCCCTTCCATCCCCCTTTTTCCAGTGCATCAAAGGCCTTATAATGCTAGCAGAGTTCAGAAGGATGGAAGGGAGAAAAATGGAAGGAAAGGAGGCTTAGTGTCTGGAAGAAGGAGGAGGAAAGCAGGATGACTGGAGACCATGGTGCAGTGGAGTTGTCACTGACCTAGGAACCCTTGTTTGCAATCCCTGTCCTGGTCTATGTGACCTGCCTTGGGATAGGGCTTCCCTTTATCTCTGCGTGACCTTGAGATCCATAAAAGAGGGCTAAAGATGTCCAAAAATATCTTACACAAGTGGCAGATCTAATGAAAAACAGTGTTTTGGTCAAAAGCTCCCCCCTCTCCTTCCTCCCCTTGCCAAAAAACAACAAAAAAAGCACCTCATTAAGTTTAATCTGACGCTGACAACTTTGTCATTTCCTCAATCACACCTCAGCAATCTATGTTTCATAACAAGATTATTTTTTTCATTTAAGAGCTGACCTGAGGAGGCAGCAAGCAATAATTTGAAAAGGAAACAAAACTTTTCACTTCAGATTGACTGAAGCATTGCTGGCTGACTCCAGAACACTTTTTTTCAGGGGGAGCGGGGATGTTTTCTATTTTATTTCACCAACAAACCAACCATAATTTTCTTTCCCTTCTGTGCTTTTTCCAGTTGTTTGCTTCAGGCAATGAGCTCCAAGCTGTATGGATAAGCAGGGGCAGAACAGGTCCTCAGCTGCCAGGGTGTTGAGCCGTACATCGTGTACCCTGGTTAACCTGAGGGCAGACACAGACCATGCTGGGACAGACGCTAATATTCCTGTTGCCTCAGTTTCCCCATCTGTAGTGTGGGGCTAAAACTACAAAGAGCTAGTAATTGCCTTCTATGATTGCTGAGGGGCTATTTAATTAGCCTCTGTAGTTCTTTGAAGATGAAAAACTCTATGCAAGCGCTAATTATTACTATTACACAGACAAGAGTTAGACGTTGTTAGCAGGGTTTTTTTCACCCATCTCCTTTTTATGATGTCTTATTTATCACAGATATTCCTGATATGGCTCCTCTGAGCTACTGGCTTGTTAACATTTCTGATACGGGACCCACGTGAATCGCCTAGCTGTAAAAATGGAAAGTCTGGCTCATTTCAGAAATCTCTGTTGTCTGTTGAAACACTATCTCATGACATCCTGGAGCACAGCCACTCCAAACCTGCTGCTTTCCCTTGTCTGAGACGCTCTGACACAGCAAAGACAAAGAAGTTGTGGTAGTCACTTCAGTCCGGCAGTGCATTTGTCACGTGGAAGGGGGAGATTGCACATGGAGAGGTTGACAGGATCAGTCAAAGTGGAAAATGCAGATACCCATTTCTGAGCTAGGTACTTAGATATCACCTGCAATCAAGGTGGAAGGAATAGAAAATTTCACATCAGTTTTATCATCCTTATGGGACATCCCATCCTTGGTGTTTGAAATAGCTCAGATGATTTTATTCTTCTTATGTTCTTGTTTGCATAAAAGCTTCCTTGGGAAGAACCTACTGTCAGCTTTACTGAGGTTAATGCAAAGACTCACATTGTCATCACTGGGCTTTGAGTCAGGACCTGAATGGAGTAGAGTGTCTTTGCCACCAGTTGTCCTATTGCCCAAGTGCAGGCTTCTAGCAGTGTAACAGGAGATTTTGTCCCTTTTTTGTTAATAGACCCACTGAAGAAAGCATTTGAAGCTTTGGGCCAAAACTACTGTTCTGCTTAGAGTGACTCTGGTTTACAGCTCAGTTTCTGCTGCTTGAATTTCTGCTGTCCTTGGCATGCTCCTCAGCCAGTTTTCAGAAGCTTATTGACAAAAGTCCCTTTTTCCCTACAGGTGCCAGATGGATCTGTGGTAGCTTTAGTCTCCAAGCAAGTCACTGCCTACAATGCAGTCAACAACTCCACGGTCTCCCGGACCTCAGCCAGCAAGTACGGTAAGGGCCCGTGTGCTGATACAGATGGAGAGAGCGCTGGAGGAGAGATCCCAAACGTCATGGTGGTTTCAAGACACTGAGCACCAGCAGAGAGAATGATAGGCAGATGACTAGTTGGTATGATTGCTTGAGGAATAGCAGGAGGAGAGGATTTAGCCATCTAAAACTTAGAGATCTGGTCCAAGCTGCTGATCCAAGTGGTTGGATTGCTCTTAGGAAGTACTTCTCTTCCCTTATTAACAAAAGGAGGAGCCTATATAATTAGCTGCCTACATTTTAGATCACTGAATCTCACTCTTAGAGTTCGCACAGGGAGAGGCAAAGGAGAAGCACGGCACATTGTATGGGGTTAGTCGTTCTGGTGGGCAAAGTCCTTGGAGCATGGTCTGTTGTGAAGACGAATCTATGGCACAGATTGGAGGCCTCTGGGACTACAAGCAACCACAATCTATGTAGGACATAGCCTGTCTACAGTTGTATCTCAGCGTGGGTGTTGTGTGTCCCACCCAGCTAACCCAAGGGAATTTGCACCTGGAATAATAATAAAAATGGCTTACTGAGGTCTTATAACAACATATCTCAAGGCAGCGGATTGTTGTTCCCACTTTACCCATGAGACAACTGAGAATGGACAGCTGTGAAATAGAGACCAGGTGGAAATTCTTCTGCAGAGGCAAACAGAGATGTCCTGCGTCTCACTCACACCATCACACACCTTTCTCCCCTACACTAGAATTGCAGCCCAGGACATGTCTCACTGTGGTGATGCCGGAGGGCAAGGCAAAACATCTCTAATGTGCAACCAGAGTGATGCAAAACCAGCCTCCAACCTGGATGCAGCTGTCATATCAGCTTATTATTATTTTTTAATTTCTGAAAATGTCTCTGATCCTTCTTACTCCCTTTAGCTTGAGGGAAAGTACAGTTACTCAGTGTCCAGAAGAGCCCCCTCCCTCTTCCTCCAAGGACATAAGCAATCCACCAGACCTTATTAATATTCATCCTCTTTGCCATGTTGTTGCAATTACTGAAAGACACAGTGACCTTTTAAAAGGAAGACTTGAGGGGGGTTAATTTCTGTTGGATTTCTTTAATTCTTTTGACATTTGATTTTTCAGGAGGAGGGAGTGGGGAAGAATGCAGGGGGAAGAGAAGATGTGGTGGGTCAGAAGTGATTGTTAATTGCAATTAAGAAAACAGCATCCAGAGAGAAAAAGGATATTCCATCTGATAATTAATACGTAGAGATTGGTAATGCATTAATGAGGCTGATTCAGATCTTGCTACAGAAAGGTGCAATACTCTTCTGTTAATTATGTTTGGAAAAGACTCCATCTGCAGCATTGCTGGAAGGTCAGGGAGAGGGGAATGCCTCATGCCATCACTCAGAGGCAAAGGGAGGTAAAATTTGGAGGCTAAAGGTGTCCTTGGAGAGGAAATCTGTGCAGGCCCACCTGGGGTTCTGGTTTACTTTCTGTCAAAACAAGATTTTGGAGCAGGGAGTGAAGAGTTATTGGATTGCTTTGATGCCAAAGGAGGGGGGGAGGCAGCTCCTCCTAAGTCTGGGCATGGGGAGCTAAGCAAGAGGTCATGTTAGCTACATCAATATTACTACACAAAAAGACCATGGGCCTGCTCTCTGGCCATAATGTCAAGCAGCATGGCATAGTTTGGCTAACATCCATACAGGCAAAACAAGTTGTACTTGTCCATACTGGTTACGATGAGTAGCTGGTACTATCCCCTGAACCAGTCCTGGGCAGTGTCCAACACTGACAGTGCCAGTGGTTCCAGGCCAAAGCTTTGCCAGGGAACATAAGAGGTAAAGAGCGTGGGCAACTGACGTCAGTGTTTGAGCCTCGTTTAATTTCATAGTGTAGACATTGACATCATGTCTGGCTTGACATCATCCCTTGCCTTTGCTGAGCAAATCACTCAGTCATAAGATAACGGTTTGATAATAAGGCCTGGTCCACAGCTGCTTGGGGGGCTTCTCTGTCTCACATTGTAATTTCACCAGGAGATATGTCCTTGCTGCCTATTGTTGCAAATTGATTGATGGAAATTTATTTAATACTAATATGGAAATGTGAGAGCAGAGACATCACAGTATTGCTACAGCCTTCCCACTTTGGAGACCCAAACTAACGTCACCCCAGGGTGGACTCACCAGCTGTGATTGTCTCAGCCCCACACCAGAATCTGTATGAGCATCCACTCCATATACTGAATGGGAGAGGTACCTGCTACTGAACCCAGACAAAGAGGCCTTCGTGTCTGTCTGATGAAAAACTTCTATTAGGTGGCATGTCATTAGCATATTTCCTTGGTGAAACCCATTACTTGCAATACGAGTGCTACTAGGGCTGAGACACATGCATCTCTCTTTGCAGAAAATATGATCCGTTACACAGGCAGCCCGGATAGCCTCCGTTCCCGCACCCCCATGATCACCCCTGACCTTGAGAGTGGAGTCAAGATGTGGCACTTGGTGAAGAACCATGAGCATGGTGACCAAAAAGAGGGTGACCGGGGCAGCAAGATGGTTTCTGAGATCTACCTGACGAGACTACTTGCCACCAAGGTACATGGTGGGGGTGGGGAAGAGGGTAAGAAATGGGTTTTTAAAGGCTGCAGTGGAACTTCTTTCCTACAAGAAATGAGAGACTGCTCAAACGTTGCCAAAGGGGCATAAAAAGAGAAAGAAAACAGAGTAAGAGGAGTTCTCCAAGCATGGAGGGAAGGAGCTTGAATTTAGAAAGCAGAGTCAGAAAAGGGACACTGGTGACCAATGAGGAGTAAAGAACAGGGCCATAAGGCTGGTGGAGAAAGTCAGCACGGGGTTGGGTGTGTGTTGGGGTTGTTGATTATACTGGCTTGTAGCTTGTACCAAAATTGAGCAAATGAAGAGCCAGGGAGTAAATGCACCCAGATCAGGTTCCAAGGATGTGTCACACCTCACAGTCTGAAATGGGCTCCTCTGCTACAGAACCCTGAGTTTTGTGGTACAAGTCCTTCTTCTCCACCTTTCCCCTGGGCCCATAAAGACTCTCGTGCTGATGACTTGGCAGGAGGTTATGTTGGCCATGATGTGGCTAATAGGTGGCCAGCTCCAAGGAGAGCAAGCAGAGTTAGATGCCCATCCCCATTGAGACATGGAAAGCTCAGGGTCTCCAAAGAAAAAATACAGATTAGGTCAGGTGGGGGCAGAGCAGGGACATCCTGAACTGAATCTTCAGACACATCTCACACATCACCGCTGGCCCATGGCAGGTCTCTGCAGAGAGGGCAGAGAAGACTTGCTGTGAAGACTTGCTCCCAGGGGTGGTGCAGACCCAAGTCCTCCTTTATTTTGTGATCTGGCTGTCTGTGCTTTCCCAAAACAACATTTCTTGGGTGTTGGGAAATTGGTAAGATCCCATCTGCTTAATCCATATTCCCCAAAATGCTGAAAACCTGCCTCCTACGTGAGTGTCTGCCAGAGCCTGCGTAACTTCTTTAGTGGGGCAGTATGGGGGGTTAGCATAACTGGGGATGCAGCACCATGGGGAGGACACTTGCACAAGTGGAGATCACTCAAGCTGAGTGATCTAAAACTTCCTGCAGTGGACTTTGGCTCCACGACAGCAACAGAAAGTGGCTTAATTGCCACTGTCTGCACAGAAAGAACTCACTGTCACTCACCACCATGCTGTCCCTTCCCTGCGAAGGGCATGGCCGGTTCTTGCTGCAGCTGACTTGCTCTGGGGTTGACAGAAGCTCTCAGACCTTTCACCTTCTTTCACCTCTAACCTATCTTCCACCTAACTCACTTGTAAAGACTCCACAAGAGCGCAGGCAAAAGCAGTTGTTTAAGTTTACATTTATTTGCTCTTCCACCCTGTGGATGGTGGTCTCCTTGGAGAAGCCTGCGTTAATGAAGAAGCTGCAAGGATCTTCTTTTGCACCCCAGCAGGGACCAGGGCAGGTGGGGAGGAAGGCAGTATAATCAGAAAAGTGTTCCCTGTGCAGTTCTGCTGTCCTCTTGCAGCGCAGAGCATCTCTGTGCCCGAATCTCTCTAACATGAGAGTTTTCTCAATGCATCCCAGAAGTGGAAACTGCAGGGTAGCTGTGGCTCAGGTGCGGCTGTTCACGGTGTTATCTCACCCTGTTCTGAGCAGGATTAAACCAAGCCGTGATCAAACAGCCCAATCTTCCTCCCTTCTCTGAAGTTTTGGCTATTATCATTTCTTGGCAGGGTGTTAATAGGTACAAACACAATTTCATGTGTTCATGCAAACGCCGTCTGGGTTTGCCCATCAGACAGGTCTCCATCACGTCCTACAGTTTTACCTGCACATTTGTTCCTGAACTCATTTTGCCTCTGGTGTCTGACTCTCCCCGCATCCTCACTCAGGCTGTCTACGTTGCAGTGGGATTTGGAGATAAAGTGGCTTTGTCTTTAGCCCTTGGTACATGCCCAGCTCCCTGGCATCAAGATGCTTTTATGGATCACACAACATAAAAAGAAAATGATGGTCCCCAGGGCCCAGGCCCCAGCTGGTGTAAACCAGCAAGCATTGGACCAGTGCTGATTTACGCTGTCTGGGGATACATCCCCTACCCCACCACTGAATGGCTTTTGCTTTCTGTTCCGGATCACAAACTCAACACTTGTGGTTTTGGGGTTTTTTTTGTGGAGATGACAGGAAAACAGCTGTGAAACTTGCACAGCCGCAGAGAGAGTAGAAAGGCTGGGGGTTTATTGTTTCCCCTCTCAGGCTGGGCTGAGCGATTTTCCTTCCTCATCATGACCATTTGAGGGGGGGAAAGAGGAGAGAGAGCAATTGTTGGTAATACAATCCCAGGGAATACTTAGTTAAACTGACAATGATTTTTATTCTGGTAAATCCCTGACCCCGGAGACCTAGAGTCTCTTGCCTAAAAGCCTCAGAGGTTTTCTTTGTGTTTGTGTGGGTGAGCGTGCAGAGAACTAATTCCCTCCAGAGACTGAACCTGAGGGCAGCTCTTCCATGTCAGACCAACAAGATTTCCCCTCGGGGGCCCGTTCTGAGTCAGACATGTGCTGCAGGGCTTTAGTCACCCTGTAGGAGTTCACGCAAGCAAAAGGTACCTCTGTTTGTCTCCCGAAGAATAAAGCAAGTGGTGAATCAGCAAGTGACACCAGCTTCCTAATTAAGTATTTGTTAGCGCTATGTAAACTTGAGCCACTCTGGTGGAACCTGGTGCTTCATTTCTAGTAAGGAGAATTTCTTTCCTGGGTCTGCAGAGAAAGGGGAGGGTTTTCTTTTTCAGAAGAGGCAATCTTGCATATCAGGAAACGTTTGTTGGAGATTTGATTGCTTTTTGGTTGTTTTAGCAGCCGTTTGGTTTGTTCACATATAAATGCCTATGCAGCTCTGGTGGCAAAGCAGAGGTTCAAACGTGGGCTAGAGCTCCCCATTCAGCAGGGAAAGCGTGCCTTGCCTGGTTCCCCCCCAAACCCAGCCTGCAGCTCATCTGGTTATCACAGCTCCTCAACTGCCCTGTTCTCCAGGCCTGGTCACCCTCTGATATTCCAGCTCTTCACTTTCTTGCTAAAGGTCAACTGTCCTCACTGGCTTGCCAGGATGGTTCTCCAAGCACAGGATCTGGGATTCTTCTCCCAGAGGAGCATAAGGAGACCTCTGCAGTCTCTGCAGTAGACATTACTGAGGTCTGCAGAGCAGTACCTGACACATCCATGCATCGCTTCTAGGGTTTGCCTCAGACCCATGCCAATAGGTAGTCAAAAATGAGGAGGCCTCTTGGGGATTAAGATGAAGTTTATGTTACTTATTATACTACTCACATATATAAACCAGCCATCTCTCTGCAGGCACTCTTGTCCCATTTATCTCAATGACACCTTCTGCTCTGCTCTACATCTGACTTCTATTCCCAGCTTAAGAATTGGCCCTGGATGAAAGCCAGTGTAGAAGATGGCTAGTTTTTGTCTCATACATGCACTAAAGCAGTTAAGGATAGGACTCAGAGGAGAGAAATTTCAGTGGGAACATATCCGGCCCTCTCCATCGCCATATGCCTGAGATGGGGCAAGGTATCCCACCACAGCTCAGCCACTCTCCCTGGCAGGGAGTTCTAGTAGCAGAGAGGACAAGTAGCATCTTGACCTACTCCGTCTGGCTGCTAACCAGATGTAGCGGATATTGTGAAGAGGCACATGCCTGCTTAAAGACATCTGTATTGAAATTTCCAACTCATACCAAATTTAACAGATATTAAATGGCTCCCACTTTTCAATCACACTTTCCGGGCCTGATTTGCAGACATACTCTGTTTTCAGTGGGGTACCAAAATTCAGTATCCTCTTCCCATTTGGTATCTCACTTTCTTCTCTCCTTCCTTCTCCCAACAGGGCACCCTCCAGAAATTTGTAGACGACCTCTTTGAGACCATCTTCAGCACTGCTCACCGTGGCAGTGCGCTTCCCCTGGCTATCAAATACATGTTCGACTTCCTGGATGAGCAGGCTGACAAGCACAATATCCATGACCCCCACGTGCGGCACACCTGGAAGAGCAATTGGTGAGTGAGACACCCCAGTACAGCCCAGCACCAGGTCTTGGGCTGGAAGAAGAGGAGAGGGACATGTGGTTTGGGATCTGGCTGCTGGGGAAGCTGAGGAGCCTGGCGTGGGGTTCAGAGCACCAGGCTCAGCCTTCCCAAGACTATGGGGAAGCCAAAAGATCCCAGAATCCAAAGGATGTTCTCAAGGATGGAGCGCTTTGGCTAAACAGGTCCCAGTTGCCCTGTATTACATGGGGATGGTAGTATTTCTGAGGGACTTCATGAGGATATAGGAGGAAAAATGGTGAAGTATTTAACTGCTGCAGTGTTCAGGCCCATAGGAATGTCTAGGGAGGTCTGGGAGAGGATTCAGCACCACTGTCTTCATCTAGACTGGGTGTTTAAAATCCCGCTATAGCCAGAGGGGGGCTAGAGCTTCATTTGTTTGCCCGCACATAGGCATGTAGTGCCATCTGAGATATTTTAAGGTATCCCAGACATCCACAGGGAATGTGCAGCATCCACAGGAGTCTTGTACCCTCCTGGACTGGCAACTGGAGGCCAGGAGAGCATCTCAAATGGTACTAAGCACTTAAAGGGTCTGGAGCTGGATGTGAGTCTCCTTCGGAGCGAATGACAAAGTCTGACACCAGCCCCCTGCTCTAGCTGCTGGGCAGCAGCCCCTCTTCGTACATGTAATGGGACAGCGGGAAAAAAACAGGATCGGTGGAAAGAAAAGATCTCGGTGGCTCATCTCCTCTGAGTCTCCCTGTTGGAAAGAGTCCCCTGGGGAATCTCTCCCTCCCCTTCTCCTGTGCAAATACAGGGACTATAAAAGGAACAGCAGAGGAGAGCCATGGGGCTCCCAGCTCATGCATTTTTTCCTTTTACCAGCCGTGCTGATGGCAGATCGTCACAGCGCAGTGACATAAAAAAAGAAACCCCATGCACCAAAGAGGTTTTCGACTAATGAAACATTAGCATATTATTAACATTATCTGCGGCACTAATCTAAGGCTGATTGCAGCCACTCAGACTAAATGAGCAGGAGGTTTATTTAAGGGGGGAGGGGGGAAGGCAGAGTGTGTGTGTATGTGGGAAAAGGGGCAGTATGAAGAAATCTGTTCAATCAGATTAAATTAACTCAAAGTCACATCACGGGCTTCATTATTCCCAGCTAGGGACATCGTCCCCCCCAGCCCCTCCCCGCACCCGTACACACACTCAGGCACAGATACATGCACTCTCTGCTCGTCCTCACCGCGGCTGTGTTTGCCATCCAAACACCTGCAGAAGAAGTTCTGCACTGTTCGCTCATCCACCCCATCCCCCAAAAGATGAATCCCCCATTCCCAGCCTAAAATGTTTCCCTCCCGCATCTCCCATCAGCTCTCATTGCCAGCATCTCCTGCTTCTTCTGAACTTCTGCCCCGTCCCCTACGGAGGCTGCTTGGCTGATAGGATTACCTCTGTGAGGTTTTCCTTACATTTGCTCTGTGATTTTGATGACTCAGGAGAACACAGTAGTTTAGGGAAACGTGGTGTCATCTCTCTGTCAGGACATGTTAAATTGCCTGCTGTTACCCAAAATACATCAAACTTGGAGATGAATTTGTTATGGTGCTGGGTACACATGGGGGTAGCAAGCAAATGGAACGAACTGAGGAACTGGGGATTTTAGCCTCAACATCAGATGAATTTGTTAAGCTGAAGAATAACCTCCTCTTGGGAAGGTGCAGACACTGAAGATAGACTTAGCAGTCTACCTGACAGAGAGACAAGATTTTGACTCTGTGATCAGTGACACATCTCAGCTCCTAGGCCGCGATCATATGAATGCATTTGCCCTGACACAAAAAGGCTTGAAGCAAAGGCTGGAGGTAGATACCTCAGGGCATCTCACACAAATGAACTGTTCCTTTGAGAAAAAAGGGGGATAAAAGGGCTTTGGATTGCAAATGGAGTAACATTTCCTTGGTTAGGGCAGATACATTCTCATTTCAAAGGTTACAACACTTCTTCCCTACTCCCCTTTTTTTTTCCTTGAGGCAACAGGATTTTCCCTGTCACGTAAGGACTGCTTCACGCCCAGTATGCTGGGATCATACGCGGTCTTGGTCTTGAGCTGTGGACTGTGACAGTACACGGTGTCCACAGCACACAGTGAGTGCCATTAGCACTCTCAGTCTCAGCCTGAGAGCTCTACCTACCTCTTTTCCCATAAGGTTGCTATGAAGGTAGAAGCCAAGTCCCCTAATGACAAGTGTTTACCACAAGTTTTGCAGATGTGATGCCTATCCTCATCTGATGAAGCAGCCAACAGGTGAAACTTTGCATTGCACCCTAACGTAGAGAAGATAGGAGTCATTTTCATTGCCTCAATTATACGCTCATTAATTTATGTGCATCTTCGATAAGATGGCATTGACTTTAAGACTGACAAAATCTGGCTTGTAAGGATAACAGGGACAAAAGCCACTGCTGAGGTGACTCCACTGCTGTCCCTAGAGTCCTGTAGGGGACGAACTTATTGTATATCAAGGCTTATCCCAGAATCCTTATCTCCACACCGTGATCTTTGATTGCCATCACCAGTCAGCATTGTAACCTCGCACAACAAAGCCTGTGAACCGTGCACTGACTGACTCACTTCTTCCACCCCCTCCCACCTCTCTCGCAGCCTGCCGTTACGGTTCTGGGTTAACATGATCAAGAACCCGCAGTTCGTCTTTGACATCCACAAGAACAGCATCACAGATGCCTGCCTCTCCGTAGTGGCTCAGACTTTCATGGACTCCTGTTCGACCTCAGAGCACCGTCTGGGCAAAGACTCACCCTCCAACAAGCTTCTCTACGCCAAGGACATCCCCAGCTACAAGAACTGGGTGGAAAGGTGAGTTTTAGCTCTAGAAATAGGAATGACATAAAGAAGTGGTACAATGAGGCCCTGCTTCACGGATGGAGGTGGGAGGCATCATCAGTATTGCCTGCTATACTGAGGCAATATTTATACCAAAAGTAGCTGGTAGCTGCCCCTGACCTTCTTTTCTTTGGTTATTGCCTAAGTAGAAAGCTCCGTGTTAGCCTTTTACTCCCACGTGCCTTGCAGCAGAGATGGATATTTAATTAGAGGTGTGAACTGAAGGTGTTTGCCATCATTGTTTCTCTTGAGGAGAAACTGTTGAGAAGCCCGAGAGGGAGGAAGGAAGGGGAGGTGATGTGTTTGAGACCTGTGAAGTACGTGGGCTTCTAAATCTTTCCACACAGACCAGAAGTGGTTTGCTGTTCTCAGCATTGTTGTGACAGTCCCCACACCTCCTAGATCCCAAGGGTCATACAATTACCTCCCCTTATTCCGAGTCCAGTAGCTTTCCTTGGAGGCTCTTCTGTGCTTTGAATGAGATGCCGTAAGATTGACAGGCTGGTGACTGAAGCACTGCAGGTATTTTCTGAAAGGTCAGAGATCTTTCCAAGCATTTTATCCACACCTGCAAGACCTGTAGCTGTACTGGTCAATCTACTGCACTGAAGGTCAGTGTCTGGCAAAGCTACTCTACAGGGAATACAACCAAGACAACTATTCCTCCAGTTTCTCTAAGATTTTCCGCAGGACAAGCAAATAGCACATCTTGCACTCCATTCAGCAAACAAGCCTTGCAGAAGTTGATCTGTGCTTTGTTTTCCAATATGCTACGCTTGTCTGGAGTTATTGACAGATCTGGGAACTGCACAGATGGAGAATGATTACTACTCTGTAAACACAAGGATGGGTTTATCTTACAGATCATTCCTGTTCAATGCCATCCAGTTTTAAGCAATGACTTGTCTGGATGACTTCATAGGCACTGTCTAAAATTGATACCATGCCACGCAGGTTATATGAGACCTCTGCTACTGTAGGCACACTGTGCTGTAAACCACTGTCTTGCCTTTGGTAGGGATGGTTTTCTCTCATTTTGTGAAAGGAGATCAAAGAGCTCTGTCCCCTAGTTGGCATGAGGTGACGTTTTTTACAATAATGCTCCCGTTGGTCTCTGATTTGTCTGGACAATTATTTTTAGATGTGGTTAAACACTTCTGCAAATGTCGTTTCTAGGCAACCTGTAAGGCTCTTACGAGCTACCTTGCTTAATTATGACCTACTTCTGGTACTGTGTCCAAGTTTCTTAGTATGTATTGAGGTTGATTGCTGGATTGACCTGAATAGGGGGAAAGAGGTGTTTGAGATTCATTTAGAAATCAAGTTTGCACCAACAGTGACCCAAAGGTGTCATACTCCAGCGACACTTTAGCAACCTTGTGTGTAGTGGGTGGTGGGTTTCTGTGGACAAATACTTTGTTTTACTTATGACCCTGGTGGATTTTTTGTTTTTGGAGATGGTACATTTGAGAAATAAACTGAGGTGGAGAACTGGGTATGCAACACCTCTTTTTCTGGATAAACAGAAGCCTGCAGTTTCCTTTTTTTTTTTCCAGTATTGATTTCACTTTACAACTTTTTGGAGCTAAACCCTGTTGCCCAGTGATCTTCAGCAGTAGGTGTTTCATTTTCCTAGAAGTTTTCCCAAACAACTGGGTTTGCAAACGAGGTACATAACACCTCCTGCTGCTAGTAAACAGCACTAGATTTCTCTGCCAGCATGTGCTGGGTTGTTACCGGCACTGATGTCTGACAACTTGAACTGAAGGCCAAGAGGAGGCTGCGGGTCTTGGAATATGGTTAGAGCTTCTGCCCTGCTTATATTTTTGTGTGTCAATTCCATTGACTCAAGGCAGTGGCACCTGGATGCTGTGGTAGATCAAAGAAAAAACATATCAAGGATGAATAGAATATAATTTCAATTCTACCCTGAGTTAATGAATTCCTTTTCTCCATTCTGCAACTGTACTTTGAGGGAGTTATTCCAAATCCAATGGCTTCCAGTACTGGTTGGAGCTATTTCTGTAGTCAGTATCAGCTGGAGACGGCGTCCTTCAAGACCACTAGACTTCTTCAAAGAGCGAATCATAAGATAAAAAGATTTTCAGTCAGGGAGTTTAAGAAGCGGTTGAGTAAATCACAGGAACCTGAAATCAAATGAACTTCTTTGATGAAGAAGAATCTATAAGAGGGCAATTAGGCAGTGGTAGATTGTAACCATACTTGAAGGCACTCTGAAGTAAAGACAGGCTCCTGTCTTTTAACGGGTCTGTTGAAATGGTAGCTGGGTTATTCCAATCCTTCCCTTTGCAACTCCTGGTTTCTCAGTGTGGAGTGTGCCTTTAGGACTCACAAAACTCAAAGCAGGGAATGACCTTGGCACAAGAAGCAGGCATGGGTGAAAGTACATACCTCCAATCCTTCAAAGACTAGTTTTCTACCTCTTTAGAGTGTGAATGTACATTGGGAAGGGAATAGCTACAGATTCAGGCCTGATCGATAATCTACCTCTGCATGGTAGTCAACTGGGAGTTTGATTTCAGCAGTCCTTTTTTAACGCTGTTGGAAGCAGAGGTGGACTCTGCCTCCTGAAACAAACCCACTGAGAAATCCTGACTTTTGGGAAAACCAGGTTCAGCATTCAAATTACACACCCAGGGCTCTTTCACTGTGAAAACGCATGGCTAAAAGGTATCTAGGTGCAGCCACATCTTGGGTTTCCTGTGGCAGAAGATGAGGCCTGACTGAGGCAGGAGAATTAACCCAGGAAATGGGGACAGACTCTTTGGCTTTTGTTGAAGCCATAAAGAGTCAGTCTGCAGTTCTAAACCAAGGTGGAGGCTTTTCAATTATCATTATCTAAGCCTACTGAAAAAAAGAGGAAAAGAATGGCAACGGTAGACCAGATTCTCATCTGACTTCTGTTGGTAAAACTCCATAGGCTTTGCTGAATTTACATTAGAGCAGCTTCAGATCTGCATCTTTTCAAGTTTACTTCAAATGTCCCCTTTGAGCCTAAAAATCTGGAGAACTTGGGAGCATTTGATGCAATCCCCAAGCAATACAAAGGGGAGCCTGTTCTAATTGGGACTGTCTCATTAGCATTCAACACCACGCTGAAAAGATGACAAAGGGCTGTGGCTGACCTTTCATTTCTCTCCATGCTGCCAAGCTTATGATAACACTTGTTTGAACTTCATTAACACCGTTTAATTGCCTGCATCACAATCAATACGATGTTTCCCTACCGAAGCCTGGCATGGAGGCAGGGATGTGGGAAACTGAAAAGGGGCAGAGCACAAAAAGCAGAAGCCAAAGAGTTTTTCCATTGCACACTTGTGCCCGAAATACCTGCAGTGCTGCAAGGAGAGGAACTGGTGCTTTTTTCTGATCCCTGCAGGGATTTGGTCTCCTTTTGGATGCTTATTGTGCATTAAAAATAGCCCCTCAAAGAAAAGCTGAAAGTCAATGGAGACATTGCAAATATTCTTAACACCTTGAGAATCTTCCAATGAAGACCATTGAAAATAGGCTTGCCAAATTCGGGACTAAAAGAGGTTTAAAGTGACCTGATCTGTGGGATTCAGAATTACAACATCTGCAGTTTGTTATGTTACAAACATTACCTGACCTAGCTGTTGGTACCCAGGTCCTGGATCTGTGATCTCATCTATTTCCTTTTTCTGAAGCAACTATGGTTTGCATGGCATAAACCTTTAGATGTCAAGGTCTTAAGCTTAATAGAAAATGCTGTGGGAGTATGTTTGGAGTATGCAGAATGGATAGTCTGTCCCCATTCGGGATCTAACCTACACCACTTGTCAGCCTCTGGTTCCAGGACGCTGTAGTCAATAGATGGTCTCCTCCAGTGCTTGTGATGTCTATTGGCCGCTTTGCAGCTAACTTTAGAAAGAAAGACAAATTGGACTAGCTTAGTACGATAAAGATTATAAGCTACATGCACCCTAACATTGTAAGTTATTGAGGTTTTAAACAGAAACATTGGGGTGACCCTAAGGGCTTTAAAAGAAAGCATCAAATGACAGGTGTAAGCCGTGGCTCTTCTTTAAAAAATGCAGTCTTTCATATCTCCTTTCCCTGCCGGAAAAAAGGCTCAAGATACAGCATACCAAGGGTTAAGGTAGGGGGTGTTGTCAGTAGAGATAATAAAAACTGCTGGAAGGTGCCTCAGGAGGTCAACCCAACCAGCTCCTGCCTCAGGGCAGGATCAGCTCTGTCTAAAGCCTTCCTGACAGATGTTGTCTATCCCTTTCTTAAAGGCCTCCAATGCAGAGCCTCTGCTCTCCTCAGGCAACCCGTCCCTGCGCTTCCCTGTCTTTCCCATCAGAGTGTTTTCCCTGATGGCCAGCCAAAATCCCCTTGGCTGTAATTAAAGCCCATGCCATCTCATCGCATCCCCAGGGACACAGGGTACAGCTCATTCCCTGCCTCTCTGCTGCAGCTTTTGGTGTATCTGAAGACTGTTCACTTGTCTTTCTTCACCTTTAGTCTCCAAAAAGCTCCTGATATTTTCTCATCACAGTAACACGCTGCTCTTACATAGTGCAGTTTTCAGCAGGCAAGATGAAAATGTGTCTGTACACCAAGGGTACAACCTCAGACCCACACATCCTCTGGGCTGAGACCATGCTGGATGGAATCTTTTCCCAGAGAAACTACCTGTTCACCAATTCACTCTTCAGCCATTGACTCAGCGCTGCCTGCTCATTCTCCACCATTTATTCTGAGATGAAAAGCAGCAGGAGCCATACACATATCATAGAATCATGGAATAGTTTGGGTTGGAAGGGACTTTTAAAGGTCATCTAGTCCAACCCCCCTGTCATGGGCAGGGACATCTTCAACTAGATCAGGTTGCTCAGAGCCCCGTCCAACCCGACTTGAATGTTCCCAGGGATGGGGCATCTACCACCTCTCTGGGCAACCTGTGCCAGGGTTTCACCACCCTCAGC